ACAAGAATAAATAAGGTAATTCAGGACTTTTCTTGAAAGCATATTTATACGGACCCCCCTCCCTAAAAAAAACTCCATAAAACCCATACACATTGAACAAGTAAGATGACTTACGTGCAATTTTCTTATTGATGTAATTCGTGATTTCGTATATGCACCCAGAAGCAAAAGTATTTTCTATTTCAGTTTATTTTTCGGCTAACTCTAAACTTGCATTGAGAGGTGCTAAATCTGTTATGGATACATTTTTTTGTCGTTTTCAAGCCTTTTGTGTTTGGGCTGGAATCTTTATATCGAAGTGTTATGTTTACATACAACCGTTTCTTATCTAGAAGTGGTATTTTTACATACAACTGCTTCTTGCCTAGAAGTGTTTTTTTTTTTTTACATACAACTGTTTCTTATCTAGAGGTGGTACTTTACATACAACTGTTTCTTGTCTAGAAGTGTGTTTTTTTTTTTTTACATACAACTGTTTCTTGTCTAGAAGTGGTTTTTACATATAACTGCTTCTTGTCTAGAAGTGTTTTTTTTTTTTTTACATACAACTGTTTCTTATCTAGAAGTGGTTTTTACATACAACTGTTTCTTATCTAGAGGTGGTACTTTACATACAACTGTTTCTTGTCTAGAAGTGGTTTTTACATATAACTGCTTCTTGTCTAGAAGTGTTTTTTTTTTTTTTTTTTTTTTACATACAACTGTTTCTTATCTAGAGGTGGTTTTTTTACATACAACTGTTTCTTGTCTAGAAGTGGTTTTTACATATAACTGCTTCTTGTCTAGATTTGTTTTTTTTTTTTTTTTACATACAACTGTTTCTTATCTAGAGGTGGTACTTTACATACAACTGTTTCTTGTCTAGAAGTGGTATTTTTACATACAACTGTTTCTTGTCTAGAAGTGGTATTTTTACATGCAACTGTTTCTTGTCTAGAAGTGGTATTTTTTACATACAACTGTTTCTTGTCTAGGATTGGTATTTTTACATGCAACTGTTTCTTGTCTAGAAGTGGTATTTATACAGTGGTGTTTTTACATGCAACTGTTTCTTGTCTAGAAGTGGTATTTATACATACAACTGTTTCTTGTCTAGAAGTGGTGTTTTTACATACAACTGTTTCTTGTCTAGAAGTGGTATTTTTACATACAACTGCTTCTTGCCTAGAAGTGTTTTGTTTTTTTTTTTTACATACAACTGTTTCTTATCTAGAGGTGGTACTTTACATACAACTGTTTCTTGTCTAGAAGTGGTTTTTACATATAACTGCTTCTTGTGTAGAAGTTGTATTTTTACATACAACTGTTTCTTGTCTAGAAGTGGTATTTATACATACAACTGTTTCTTGTCTAGAAGTGTTTTTTTTTTACATACAACTGTTTCTTGTCTAGAAGTGGTATTTTTACATACAAATGTTTCTTGTCTAGAAGTGGTGTTATTACCTACAACTGTTTCTTGTCTAGAAGTGGTATTTTGCATACAACTATATCTTGTCTAGAAGTGGTATTTATACATACAACTGTTTCTTGTCTAGAAGTGGTATTTTTTACATACAACTGTTTCTTGCCTAGAAGTGGTTTTTTTTACATACAACTGTTTCTTGTCTAGAAGTGGTATTTTTTACATACAACTGTTTCTTGTCTAGACGTGGTATTTTTACATGCAACTGTTTCTTGTCTAGAAGTGGTATTTTTACATGCAACTGTTTCTTGTCTAGAAGTGGTATTTATACATACAACTGTTTCTTGTCTAGAAGTGGTGTTTTTACATGCAACTGTTTCTTGTCTAGAAGTGGTATTTATACATACAACTGTTTCTTGTCTAGAAGTGGTGTTTTTACATACAACTGTTTCTTGTCTAGAAGTGGTGTTTTTACATACAACTGTTTCTTGTCTAGAAGTGGTATTGATACATACAACTGTTTCTTGTCTAGAAGTGGTGTTTTTACATGCAACTGTTTCTTGTCTAGAAGTGGTATTTATACATACAACTCTATCTTGTCTAGAAGTGGTATTTTTACATACAACTGTTTCTTGTCTAGAGGTGGTATTTTGCATACAACTATATCTTGTCAAAAAATGGTATTTTTACATGCAACTATATCTTGTCTAGAAGTGGTATGTTTACATACAACTATATCTTGTCTAGAAGTGGTATGTTTACATACAACTGTTTCTTGTCTAGACGTGTTTTTTTTACATACAACTGTTTCTTGTCTAGAAGTGGTATTTTTACATACAAATGTTTCTTGTCTAGAAGTGGTATGTTTACATACAACTGTTTCTTGTCTAGAAGTGGTATTTTTACATACAACTGTTTCTTGTCTAGAAGTGGTGTTATTACCTACAACTGTTTCTTGTCTAGAAGTGGTATTTTGCATACAACTTTATCTTGTCTAGAAGTGGTATTTATACATACAACTGTTTCTTGTCTAGTAGTGGTATTTTTACATACAACTGTTTCTTGCCTAGAAGTGTTTTTTTTTACATACAACTGTTTCTTGTCTAGAAGTGGTATTTTTTACATACAACTGTTTCTTGTCTAGACGTGGTATTTTTACATGCAACTTGTCTAGAAGTGGTATTTTTACATGCAACTGTTTCTTGTCTAGAAGTGGTATTTATACATACAACTGTTTCTTGTCTAGAAGTGGTGTTTTTACATACAACTGTTTCTTGTCTAGAAGTGGTATTGATACATACAACTGTTTCTTGTCTAGAAGTGGTGTTTTTACATGCAACTGTTTCTTGTCTAGAAGTGGTATTTATACATACAACTCTATCTTGTCTAGAAGTGGTATTTTTACATACAACTGTTTCTTGTCTAGAGGTGGTATTTTGCATACAACTATATCTTGTCAAAAAATGGTATTTTTACATGCAACTATATCTTGTCTAGAAGTGGTATGTTTACATACAACTATATCTTGTCTAGAAGTGGTATGTTTACATACAACTGTTTCTTGTCTAGACGTGTTTTTTTTTACATACAACTGTTTCTTGTCTAGAAGTGGTATTTTTACATACAACTGTTTCTTGTCTAGAAGTGGTATTTTTACATACAACTGTTTTTTGTCTAGACGTGTTTTTTTTTTTACATACAACTGTTTCTTGTCTAGAAGTGTTTTTTTTACATACAACTGTTTCTTGTCTAGAAGTTGTATTTTTACATACAACTGTTTCTTGTCTAGAAGTGGTATTTATACATACAACTGTTTCTTGTCTAGAAGTGGTGTTTTTACATACAACTGTTTCTTGTCTAGAAGTGGTATGTTTACATACAACTGTTTCTTGTCTAGAAGTGGTATGTTTACATACAACTGTTTCTTGTCTAGAAGTGGTATTTTTACATACAACTGTTTCTTGTCTAGAAGTGTTTTTTTACATACAACTGTTTCTTGTCTAGAAGTGGTATTTCGAGAAGTGGTGTTTTTACATACAACTGTTTCCTGTCTAGAAGTGGTATGTTTACATACAACTGTTTCTTGTCTAGAAGTGTTTTTTTTACATACAACTGTTTCTTGTCGAGAAGTGGTATGTTTACATACAACTGTTTCTTGTCTAGAAGTGGTATGTTTACATACAACTGTTTCTTGTCTAGAAGTGTTTTTTTTACATACAACTGTTTCTTGTCTAGAAGTGGTATGTTTACATACAACTGTTTCTTGTCTAGAAGTGGTGTTAATTATAATTTGTTAGAAAGAAAATGTCAACCGGTACAAATATTGATAAATGATTTCATCAGTTAAAATTGTCATATTTTAAATATTGCCTACAATCAAGTTGTTGATATTACGTACGTGTTTATCCTCTGTTTTGAAATGTGCTATTTCACAGTTGTTGGTATTGGTTAAAGAAGTGAGTGGGAGAGGCTTTGTTTACAATATTCTTGGTGAAGGAATTCCTTTCACCATAATTGTAGTTATTTATATCATTGTGAAACTAAATAAAAAACAATGATTTACAGGTTATGAAACCCTGTAAATGTGTGATTCATGAATATGCATAAACATTTAGCATTGGCAACGAAATTTTGAGATACGGTTATATGAAAATGTACGTGAATGCAGGGTATTCGCGAAAATAGAAACAATAGAGGACCGTGGAAACTGTTATCCCCGCTATAAAAACAGCAGTGTACACAACAATGACGACCTGTAAACAAGTACAAAATATGGAATAGAGAACAATAAAATCTCGAGACATGGATTACAACTTAAATTCAAGGTTAGATGTTATGTACAAATCGTGTTATATCAGTCCGATTTAAACTGATATTCAAGGAAATAACGGCGGAATATGAACGAAAGAATGATTTTCATGAGTCTCGTGGCAAAATGCATGGAGAATAAGACCAGATGTTCCAGCAAGGAATGTCTTTTCTGCTTCATCGGCGTAATCATCCCAAGAAAGTAAATGTCACGTGAACAGGCAAAACATCAAGGTAACCACCGGATATACGTACTCGTCGTTTTATCACACAAGGAAATCTAATACTTTTCAATAAGTTCAGTGTGAGAATATTTCTCAGTAATGTGCAACCTTCATCTCTCGAAACTGTCTGTCCAATGTCGACATCAAGCACGAAAATCGCAATATTGTGAAACAGTATTTGAATGTCGAATCAATTGTTACATGTAAACAATATCACAGTAGATACATTTAAAACACCAGGAACAAATATTTACCTTTAATAATCTAAATGTGCGTTCCAGACTATTCGGAAAATCATGCCAATTCATGTTCAACAGAAATTTACAAACACCGTCGACAGACAGCTGAACCATGCCCACTTTCCCCCTGACAACAAAGGGCAAAGGTTCATGCATTTCAATCACAGATACTATAAATAGATATTAGAATTTTCTAACACCTATGCAAATTTATGGTATTTTAAAACTTTATTCATATATCCAATATAGTAACCTTATTGAAACATACCATTCATCACTAAATTGTGTCGTCGACAATAAAGTACTATTGCTATTATCTAATAACAGATGTCTTTCCTAACATCCTTTTTGCTTGACCTGGCTGGAACGTTTGGAACCGTGAATACCACTGATTCACCTACTACGACGGAGTAAGTACAAATATATCATTTTCATTTCATCCTCGTTATTCCTTCTATGAAATACAATTGATTTGTTCGTTATTTAAAAGGTTTATATTGACAACCGCAAAATGATCGTAGTGAAGCTTACCATTTTACTCCAGCATGTCATATGATGTTTAATGTCATGTCTGCTACATTATTGCTTTTGTTTGCCTTTGATTCATAGTTTACCAGTTAGAGAGATTTAAATGGTGATCTAAAAAGTCAATCTTCGTATTAGTTAATATAGTAAGGTTCAAAATACCAGAAAAATACAGAAAAAAAATAATCTTAAAACCAGGACTTTTCTTCAAGAGAAACACCACTGATCGTTGAAGGCCGTGAATAATTCACAGATACCACGTCTATTATTGCAATGGTCTATGTAATGGATTTATTATTTTGTAGGGAATGTAACAGTGAGGTGGCAGACGGTAATGCTTACAACATATTCATTGTTCCGGCTGTAAGTTTCATTTTTGGGTAGCTTAAGATATTGAGGTTAGTTAACCCAAAGGAAAAATACATGCATATCTACGTGATATTCTCACCGACTTTACAACGTTATCCCATGGTTGCTAAGGACAGAAGGGATGGCGTAACTTTATATCTGACAGGTCAGGACGAGAACCTGACATGCGCCATGACGACACACACAGTGGTGCAGTGTCATCATTTTAGTACCTCAACCATATCGCAAATTGATAACGTCATCATTTAATGTGCTCAACCTTGTCGCAAATTGATAACGTCATCATTTAATGTAGCTCAACCTTGTCGCAAATTGATAACGTCATCAATTTCGACGCACATTTTATAGAACATACATGATGGCACAACGAAAAGATTTCACAAGGTTTTACAAGATATAACTTGTCTTTTCTAAGTATATGAAAAGAAATAATGAAAAACTGTTCCGTGGAGAGGGATATCTCAATCCCCGTGTAAGAGTTTCGCTAGCCAGCACGAGACTAGACCATCCAAAATCTTACGCTCTGGTTATGATATTCCTGTTCAAGAAACAGCCCCACGCAAGATTATATCAGTCAAAAACTGCAAAACAGATCAAAATGACGGATTACAAATATGCATATATCAACATGCCAACACAATTACCACCCAAATTCAATGAAACTAGTATTTGTATCAGAATTAATATCACTTAATTGTGTGGATGGTATAATATCTGAGGTATGTATATTTCTGTTGTTGAAAAGCACGGTAGATAAAACAGGCGAAACGTGAAATAGAGAAAACATCTTTCAAAGTGGAACAATTATCCAACTAAATAAATCAACAACGCATCATTATCAAAGTTATGTAACCATGGTGAAAGACTACCCGCAATATACCACTCAACTGGAGATCATTTTTCTTTAGATCGATCGGTTGATCGTCAGAACAGTAAGGTAGATGTTCCTGGTTCGAATACTAGAGGAGGCATTGATATATAACGACCTCTGTTACATATATATGTATCACTGGAATCAAAAGTACACAGGCTCGTTTCATGGATTTCACATGAAAAATTTACGTAAGATTATATTTTGCCTTTTAACTTCATGCTGAATCCAAATATGTAATGTGTATAATGTTCTTTTATTTTTCTCTAGGTGTTAGAAATACTTTTTCTTGCTTTTACAATCAAGAGGACTCACAGAAAATTAGAATGTTGTGGCGGCAAACCCGGTTTAGTAAGGTATGTGAATAACATGACTTTCACTTTGAAAACCGTATTATCTGCCATTAAAAATGAAAACATTTCTGTAGTCTGCCAATTGTCTTGCTGAGGCGAACTAACGTATTACTTACCCCTTCTCATAAAGTTACATCACCATGTCTTCTGCGATGGCCATGATGCAAGCATACGCATGTAGTGCTATCTAGTGCGAGACTTATTGTCACTAAAATGACATACAACGTTTTCTCAGCGCTCGTAATGCGTTTGGCAATATCTTGCCATGCTTGATTTATCGACAACCATTTTTCATCAAAGATACATCTTTGAGGTTCGTAGTAGAACACTAATGTTTCTTATCTCAGAAATAATGCAACGATCATCGCTCTCAAATTTAACAACAACAATGTTCGTTTTGTTGCTAACATAAATGGCATGCCTGGCAGTGTACCCTCTCTCATATCAACAGAACCTTGTATTAACCGGACCATCCAAAAGCAATTCTCAAAAAGGCGGCAGAGATACCGTATGTACTGTACAACTTTGTTCCGAGTGAATATGTAAATCAAAATGAGTTTCAGTAAGGTGCTTATTTCAAATTTAATCTTAATTGTAGCATGCAGAGGTGTGTCAAGAATGCACATCCTGATAGATTCTTAACTTGCTTCATTCTTATGACAAAATTGCGCACATTGGTGGGTGGATGTATGTGATTATTCATTGGGGCACACGCGTTACTTATTGTCAAACGATATTCTATTTTGAAAGCTACGTTTTTTAATTGAATGACGCGAACATTGTTTCACTCGCCATAATGCGAACACATGACGGCCTATTTAGTGAGAATACTAGTTTTAAAGCTGTAAGATGTAGTTTGATTCACCATTGACCTCTAGGGTAACCTATACTTAAACTGTCTTAAACTGTTATCATTTTCATTATTTCAATAAGGCTAACAACTCATTTGTAAACCTCATAATAACAGTGCACATTTTATCTGAAGAAATATTCATCAATGTCCAACATCTTGAAATAATATCCTGTTGTTTGTAGTATATACTTATAGTTGTACCAGGTTATGTTCGGTAACATGATCCATTCTATTTATTAGAGGAGACCGAAAAGAAATACAAATGATAGGTAAGATGGTGTAGAGCCAAATAAGGAATTAAACGTAGGCATTATACAGCTGTTTCGTCTTTCTGGGCCTAAATAAGGACGCTATGTGTACGTTATGATGATTTCCTGACTATTTAACACACTGAATTCATCATACTTAACACAAAAATGCCTTATTTTTCTTGTTTAATATTCCAGTCCAATGGATATCTTTGAAATGGAACACCGCATATCTTACACAGCAGCGTTTGGGTCGATAGCCTTCCTCTGTAGTGAAGTCATACTGGAATCGAAATACGTCATAACATACAACGGCCCAGGAGGTTATAGAGGTTGGTTTTGATAGAAATTAACCTATTGTATGTTGTCCTCATTTTCTCAAAACCACTGTTTTACGTTAATGTAGGGTATTTGTATGAAGTTCTTTCAGTGAGGACAGTATCAGGAGTCTGAGATAACGAGTATTTAGGTGTATCGTAGTGTCGAGTCCAAAATCAGCAATCATCAACCCCCAACTTAGCATGATCACGAACGCGATCACGAACAGATATTAAGATGTTTTTGAGCTTAATATGTTTTTTCATGTTAGATACAGTACATCCTTGTTTTAACCACTGATTTCTTGTCGGATCGCAGAGTAGTGACAACGTTTCTAGTATTCCGGATGGCGAGCGAGTGACTCGCGTTTATTTGGAGTCTTCTCCCTCCTTCTTCTGCAACAATCAAATGCTGGGTGAATTAGTGGTAAAGAGAGTTAGAAGATGGCCCCGTCCTATTCAAGACAGTGATCAGTCAGTACAAGATATTGACACTGCATGCAAATCAGTAATGGAAAAAAGCGCCATAGTATTTACTCTTTATTAGTTAGTAGAAGCAACGAGCCTTCATGGAAGATCCATACACGGAATACTTCATGATAACCTATTTCTGTCTTAAGTACGTCTAACTTGATACAATATAGGGTTTGTAACCAGTGATACAACATGGCATTTTCATTATTATCCGGAGAACAATTCGATGAAATGGAAGCACGCCACATATCCAATGACAAGTTCAAAGCCACCAGGTACAGCAGAAGCTTAGGGCGGCCATGTCAAGGAGTGATACACATGAACGAACTGTCCATAAAACCACAAGTATTGCGTTGGTCTACTGAACAGGACAACGCATCAGTCCATATCGGTCGAGGTGAGATGGCAGCGGTGGCAAGGAACTCCTCATCCATCCTGTTATCCAGACTAAGCACACAGGGATCCCCATCTCTTTCTTAGAAGTACCGGAGATTTAAGGACATGGACGAGATTAGTAATGGCTGTAGAGGGCTGGTTCGGGGACAAAGATACTGAGTTTCATCAATCGGTCATCACTGACTGGTAAACAAGATGAGTGTAGAGTTAAAAAGGGACTATGCTGGATAATAAAACAGTATGAATTCAAATATCTTGTCATTTCTACTTGATACCCTCTTGTATTACTTACGATATTCTCAGATACAGCTTTGTATTCCATTTTAGTTCTTTTGAAAATATTGATTGATTGATAACATGTGTTTCTTTGTTTCAGTGTTCGTAATTATCCTCTCCGTGATAGTGTACGGGATAGCATGTTTCCCTTTGTTCGTCGCTCTTTCTCTCCGATCCGTATTTAGTTATGGTTTCGGAACACTTCACGTCTGGGGATTCACGGTGATAGCGTATTACGAAACATTTGCCTGTAGCAACGATTATGGAGCGGTAAGCCACTTACACTCGGGTTAAAGTACTCATAGTTGTTATAAATGTCACGCAGTTGATTCAATAATCGTCCTCAAGGTTTGTCTTGAAAACTTCTGAATATGTTGAGCAAATTTTACTAACATAAGTACATCATATCAAGCGAGCAGGCGCATTAGTAGCTGACATGCATATAAATTTACATCACAGGTGCTTCATTTTGTGGTTCCATGACAACTTTTCTTGTTGTCACGAAAACTACTTCTTGGGTCCGCAAAATCAAATTTCTTTACTTTAAATATTATATTTCAGCAAACTGTCATATGGTATCAAACGATAATGGAAACGAAAAAGAAAAGATGTGTCGGTTCTGATGTCAGTTATGATGAATTAATATGTAAACTTTTATATACCACACACAAGACATGTCTGATAAACATCATGCCGTCGAGGGAGCGATTCCTGAAGGAGTAGCCGACATGAGGGCTAATACATTCAAAAGAAAGACATATGTTTTAGATATATCGCATGTGTAAGTGTACAAATGAGGTACAATCGAGTGGAAAGTCATTAGGAATGCACATGCTAAATAAGAAAGCATTTTAAAAAGGGTATAAGATACTGAACGGAGATTATGGGACATACTATACAAATGAATGAAATGAAATACACCTAAAACATATCTTTAAGTCCGCCAAACGAAATTGGGACCTTGTTTTTACTCAGATTTTTACTATTATTTTTGCACTATTAAAATGCCGTAGCTCTGGCGAATATTGAGGGATTGTCATAGGAAAGCAAACTTCTTATCTCACAGTAAAAATGTTATTGGATAGAAACGAGGAAATCCTGTAACACATACAAATCTAATGTTGACTGAGTTTGACCAATATTGAGCTCTTTAGATAATATAAAGCAATACACTAAATTTGGTGTCACTCTGGCTAATGTTGATTTTTTCGAGTATCTAACTTATCCGAGCATTACACCAAATTTACTTTAAATCTGATGAAACAAAAATCAATATGTCTGACAGAAACCCTTATACACAGACAGACAGACAGACAGAGAGAGACCGAGAGACAATCAGGCAGGCAGGCAGGCAGGCAGGCAGACCAAAAATAATATTCCCCCGATCTTCGTTCTCTGGGATGTGTGAATAACTTAAGTTAATTAATAATGTGATATTAATACTATAATAATATTTTCAATTTGAACAACAACTTTGATCATTTCGTATTTGCAGATAACAACTACCTTGTTAGTTCTCCGGATCATGCCAAAGCTTGTGTGTCTCACCTACTTGTCTGTGGTGTTACCTGTACGTTTCGTTAAGACACTGCAAGAAGTTATATCGAAACCAAGAGCTGTGCAGGACGTGAACGACACCACGAGCCACGAGGACAAAATAAGACGTATAAGGAAATCGATAATTGGAAGGCATATTCAGAAAAACTTTATGTTACCTCGACCAAAGAAAATGTATGAAACAACGATTTTCAGCTAGCTTTAATTAACTGTTGATTGACTCGAGTTCCAATACGTTACCATACTTTGTATTCGTGAAATTAAATAACAGAATGAATGACTTGTGAATACCCGTAATGAAACTGCATAACATGCATTTACATAATGGTTTACACTCAATTGAATTTAAATGATTGATATCAAGGTATTTAGAGTATCGATTTTTAATCCTTTGCCCTGTTAACCATCACAGTATAAACATTTCAACTTGGACTAAGTTTAATGAAATAATTCATGTATATCTTTCAAACTTCTAAGAATATACTGAACTATCTTGCTTTTTGTCGTTAACAGTGTTGTTGAACCAGGGATAAAGGGAAAACTTAGGGCGATTATAAAACCTATCCTGAAATCTTGGATATATAAAAATAATCCAGGTATGACTCATTTGATGTGTTTATCTTTATTAATTCAAAGAACTATAGCAAGCTTCCAATATCTTTTCAGAATTTTGTAACAATATTTCTCAAGCCGTTTGTGATCCAAGTGTATTAAAAAAAAAAAAAAAACAGAAAAATAAAACAAATATTGCTACAATCCAAGATGTAATAAAAAAGTGATATTTATATTGTTTTAGTTGTCTTACATATACGCTGTATGTCTACACTGCAAAACATACTGAGATTTAAATAAAACAATTGTGGTATTTTAATCAACATCTTCCATACAACAACTCAGGTTGATACTTTATCCCTTGTAAAGGACCTCCGGCGTCCATCGGCCGAAGGGATTATCGAGACCACCGTTCTCGATTTTGCTTTGCATCTTTGAATTTGTTTTATGTTTTATGTATGTGATGTAATTTATGTAATATTTGTGCCTTGATAAAGGGGCAGGTTGTTTCGAAAATTTGACCATTGTCGTACTGTCGCTATTACTTCATTGATATTTGTGGAACTGTTGGAAAAGGTAAACAAAAAAGACACTGATGTCATATCTATACCACAGATAAACAACCACGGTTTACTTTGAAATTTTCCTCTCTGATAAATGCATTTTTTATTTACGATATCATTTCAGAGTTTAAATATTCGTCTAGATTCCTTTCTACAGTCGGGGTCAGCTTTATCATAGTCTACAAGGTAAGTTACCGTTCTTTTAATATTTAATTACAGAAAAGAGCTCATCTGTTCCTTACATTGTTCTCTTACAATATTGTACAATAATCAATATCACACATATCACACAAAGGAAATATCAATGTCAATATTTAATGGTTTGAAAAGAACTTAATACCCGTAAAAGAGTACTTTTGTTTACAGTTGACTGTGGAGATATTGATAATTATCATTCCTACGATAGACGTATTCCTACAATATCTGGTGGATTTGCTAGAGACCAATCCGTCAGTTTCCCTCCAGGATACCATCTACATGACCTACTATTTGGTCGAAGCTTACAGGTGTAAGTGTCTCTATATACTGTAACCTTCGAATTTAAGCGGTTATCTTATTTTTGTGATTCTATTTGTATTCGAATTCAAGCGGTTATTTTATTTTTGTGAGTGTCAAATTGCATCCTTCCAGCCAATTAAAATATGCTTAATTGTTATGCCACATGTGGTATAATACACAATTTTTGCATGTATGTTTATACAACGTTGGAATGATTCACTGACGCTTTTGAATGTAATGTCACTCATCTATTTCATGATATACTTATGCCACATTTTCTTCTTCCAAGAGAGACTTTAGTCTCCGTGACTCCTCTCGTGTTCGGGTATCGTCTCACTGACGTTCGTCGTTGAGACACTTCCCGGACACGGGAGGAGTCGCTGAGACTCAAAACCTGTCAACCAATCAACTCATCTTCTTCCAGTGCTACTACCTATCCATGATATTTGTATTGATTATATTCAACAAACCCCAGGTCATACAGAATTATTATAAAATGATATGAGTAGAATTAGAATTTGTATTTTCAATGTTGCTGCTCTGTTATTTAATATTGTATTGTGAATTCACAATGTTGCTGAAGTATTGTTTCAAGATTGACTTCCGTTAAACACTACAAACTTATATCTAGTGTGATTTTCTCGTTTGACAGCCTGCATCATAGCAGCAACTGTTGTGGAGTGTGTCCTAGCTATGTTGATTCTCTTACACATCATATCATCATACAGGTACGTTTCAAATGAGCGAGAAAATGAAAAACCGCAATTCGGAGGCGACGTTTTCCCAAAATCCTTCTATTGTTTACTATCATCCGAAGTCTACGACAGGTACCATATTGTATCATAATCGAAACTCAACCTTGCTGGCTGTGTGATCATTGACGGTTATTTTTTCTTTATATATCAATATTTGTTGTGTATGTGGATATTTCTATTCCTTCATCAACGCTTCCGCCAATTGCACATCAAATCAAAGCATAATGTATGCCTCTTCAGTTGGCCATTTGCTTTTGTTGTTGAAATGCACGATGAAGAAAAAAACAAGTACAATCCTGTATTCGATTTTCATGTAAACGGAATTTCGTATGTTAAAATCAGCTCACAAAAAGTTCACAAAAGGACACATTTCTTCAATATCGAAAATCGAGATATTTCAATACAGATTTGAACAAGACACTAAAAATCGATTGAGATACAGAAAAAGAAACTAAATGATGACTGAAATATTCTGTCCGCATGAATATATTTTTTTTTTCACATTTGTTCCTGAAGCTTTGGCCTTGTTTCTGTTTTGAAACGATAGTATACATGTATAAACACGTATGTTTTTTCACAATATTTGTGCGTCTGTTGTTTTGGACGAATTCCATTTATAGGAAATATCTCCTGGCTTTACATAAGGGCATAACTCATCACATCCCAGCTCGCGAGGACGGGGCTAACGCTCGGCTTGTGGTAATATATGAATAACTTCCTTACAGATATTAAAAGCTAACTTTATAAACTAAATCATTAACTTAATGTTATTGTTCGTAACTTCATCCGAGTGAAGTTTTCTTTTTGACTTATATTCATCTTTTATAGACGTTAATTCTCTTGTTATTTGCGGAGATACAATATATATGATCTGAGCTGTTGCTTACAGCAAAAAATTGTAATAATTTCGTTGTATGTATTACATGGTTACAATAAACCAATTTAATTAAATATATATAACTACGTTGCTTAATATGTGAATTCGTTTTAACTGGTTTTTTTTATATTTAAGATTAATTTTAAAAATAATTGTTTTCTCTAAAATTCAAACATAATAATGAACATTATTATATGATATATACGTCATACATAAGACTTAGTTACTATACATATATCTCCTTTACGTCATACATAATATAATGTACTTAACATATAATTCAGAAAGTTCAGTCTTTTATATATGTTTCCTTACAGGTTGGAACAATGAGGTACAGTGGCTATCAAGTTGGATACACAACGTGGTGTAAGTCACGTTCGTCAAACACCTTATCTCTGTATTGCATTTGCTTAACATGATTTTGTAATGACCTACTGTTTGTATTGATTCTGCAACGAACCGATTGAAAGATAAGCATCTATTGACATAGTCACTGAAATCTCCAATGAATGTGACCTGGCTGATAATTCCCAGATGATACAGTAAAACTCCGCATGTTTTTATTGATGTTGACATGAAATACTTAAAACTTAATGGGACAATTTGATAATGGAGCTCATCATTATTTTGCAGCCTATTTTATACAATGGTGTCTCCTGTTAATATTCTGCATGGTCGTCGCCACTGTCATTATTCTTTATCAACAAGGTTACGGATATTTGATAACAAACATAATCGTTTCCGTCTGGTGAGTGAATTTAAAGGTCACTTATTCACATATATGTATCAATCGTATGTAGAATCCAGCAAACAATATCATCACTTGTTCACGTTCAGTATTTTTCTAAAAATCAAATTGATATCTGGCAATAAAATATGAACGTCTTTTGTACTGGTATACAAATAACAAACATGCCTGTTACAAATTTGAACTGATGGTACGTTTCAACGTCTTTCAGCTAAATATGTCACACATTTTAGCGAATATTTTCATGTCAGATTACAACCTTTCTAATGTACGTTTTGCAACTTCCTCGCTCTTATGGCAGAAAGAAACAAACTAAAACTCTTGAAGCAAGATGTTCATGTTCACTTTTTAATTCATATTTGCGAAACCCGTTTCATATTGAAGAGAAAATTGTGTGTTAATAATTTCTTGTTTTCATGTAATACTCGGCTCATAATAACTCATGACCAAGAATGACATTATTTGGAAGTAACATAGAATGTTTCTATACTGAGTTTTGTTAAATATTTCAAATGGGAAAAGAACAATTGTCATTGTTTCTATTCCAGGTCAATCCCGGTTACAACGCTAATAATCAACATCGCGCAGACTCAGATATCAAAGTTCGTATTTCTTCAGGAAAAAGATGAAGTACTAGCCCTTGATAACAGGTAAAAACCTTACGTACAAATCTGAAACTATAATTATTATATTTGTCGATAAATTGTCAATTTCCGATGTCACTAATGTATAAACTTGGACTATCTATGGAATACGAATTGAAGTCTTTGTCTTAATCTTGTACATCGGTCTCTTACCTTGATCTTTTCTAACAAGGAAACCGATAGGGACAACCTTCCTTCACGCTGTATTATAAGCGTGATGATTCAATTTCACATTTGTGAATTTTCCATTTCTGAATAGCGACTTCCTTCCTCTCCAATGTATAATGTTTAGATATTGCAGTTGTTTCGATATTCAAAGGCATGCTCTCATTATTGCATTTTTCCTGAAAGATTTCGGCAACTGACGGCTAAACCCAAAACACAGTTTTGAGAGAAATAGGTTGATGAAGAACTGTGGAAATTTTACGATCGCTATGAATATTTTATATCATGATACTTACTAGATAGATTTTCCATGGCAGGTGTCGTCAATGAAGCAGAAAATGTTTTCCCTTCCAAGTCACCTGGTTTTATTCTCCTTTTTCATGGTTGTCAGTGTAATTCAAATTTTGCATATTTTGTAAATAATGTGTTCTTAAAATTGAATTTTATATAAAAAAAAAACTAAATAATTCGAACACGATAATTTTGATCATAAAATGAATCGATAATGATATAACTCATCACTACCATACTCTTTAGATATTGGAAGGTTTTGGAATTTGGCAACAAAGGGAGAATTATGAATATGCTGCGACGAAACAAACGGTTTTGAAATATAACACTTCCATGTTTATTTCAGACGAGGTTTCTTCATCTTTACTTATTTCATGTTTTATTACAACATTTTTCTGGGGCTGGTGTCTTGTTTGTTGAGGATTATAAAATCGATCATACTGGGAGCCCTATTCCTTGGGCGACTTGACCACTCCACACTACCCAGGAGGTTTCAGTTGTTGGACCCAGGTAACAGCAACTGCTTAATGAACAGACCATCATCTATACATAGCATATCAATATGTTTGTAAAAGAGGTTATTATTCATTTCAATGCCTCCGCTAGGTTTCGAGCCCAAGACATCTGACTTACTAGTGTGACGCTTAACCAATCGAGCTAATATTGCGACCAGTATATACCATGGTTACATTTATAATATATATATAAATGGTGCCCGTGACATCGTGATGTCATTAAACTCTGCAGGAATCTTTCATTTCACATTTCTGTGGATGTGTTTAACATAATTATTATAACAGGATTCTGACCACATTTTCTACCATTGCCACCAGTTTTGTCCGATCTCAAATTGTAATAATTAATAATTATAATAAAAGTTAAAAAAAATGAAATGCCGTTATTGTTCTATTATTTACTTTTTTTCAGGTTTTGACGCTTTTGTTGGGTTCTTACATATGGAAAATGCCCACCGACATCCTGTTGTACTGGCCTTCATTTCTATCTTACAAGTCTATGTTCCACATAAGGATATTTGTACGTCATCTCCAGAAATAACCACGTCATCCGGTTCAGCAATAGGTAGTTATCAATGTAAATTTAAGTAAACGTTCAAATAAGATAACTGTACAAGGACAAGCACGGGATTAGTTGACATCTGTTGTGTACTGACCCGAATCTATAAATAAACTTATGAAAAAAAAAACCATTTAAAAGGTGAGGTTTGGGTGTCATCACTTGTTAGTCGTTGTTTCTCCATTAATGAAACATCGCACTTCATTTTCTGTTGTATACGGTGTATATCATTTTAGTAATCCAACTAGTGTTTATGTATATTAATATTTATTTAAGTAATGTATATTTTCATCTCAGATTTAATGGGAAAAGATAGCAGGAGAAAACGAAAGGTACATCATCGTTGGCATCTTTTCTACACATTGCATAACAACCCCAACCTGAGGACACTCCGGAAACGGACTTTAAAAGCATTCGAAGAAAAACTCCAGGCAGAGGAAGAGTTGAGAAAAGCTAGGAAGAGGAGAGATAACCTAGCGATTTATGGTGAACCAGAAGTTGTCCAGGTAGCTTTCTTTGTTAACATGTGGAAATCTGTTTGTTATCTATCAATATCCAAGACATATTAGTTAATACAAGATAATTAGAACCATATTTGGAGGGCATGTTTTGACAACCACCTTGAAATATCTATTTTGGATTCCAAATAATTTTGTCTAATTATCTGTAAATTAGAGACCTTTTTTTCAAGACGAATTCAAAGAAAAGACCTTTCTGTTTCACATATTTGTTTTAAATTTCAGATCCACTTGCCAGAAAAGGAAAAAACCCTCTATAGCGAAATCCAGATTTCAACGTAGCTAGCAATACATCTGACCATCCTCAACTACTTGTTATTCCTGCCAGGAATGACCTCGCACATTTAATAATATTTTAGAATGTTGGTAAAATATCACTGATATTACAATGGTCAATCGCATTGCTTACTTTTGGACTCCATTAAACATGTCCATATGCTTTCAAGACAACCTGATAGATACAAATGTAATGCAAAATTACATTGGATGATATTGTTTCAGAATATTCACGATGATATATAATACTTTAAATATTATGACTAGTGTCATCAAACTTATGATTTCTGATTTTCTGTGGTTAAAACTGTGATAAGCACACTTTGTATTAAGTTTTTGTTGAATATGTAAACGAAATGTTGTACATTGTATACTGGTTATTCCTATAAACCTGATAAAATCCTGGTTTATATATGACGGGGGTATTCATCCCTTATAAACATTTTTGGGTTCTTTAATGCACACTTCGTCTTAGGTTCTGTTTTTAAGGAAAATACTAGCGCATGCGTGTCCCCTAGTGTTCCCTTCGTAGTTTCCAAAGTGTTCCTTACCTGTCTTTTTTGGGACATATTTTCTTACTTACATGAACATTTCAGTTTCACTCTTGAATTTGAATTCTCCAAGAAAAATAACAAAAATTACAATTAAAGTGTACTATTATTTTTTATTTTCCCTATTAACGAAGAAATAATTTTGCATAAATTTACAAATCATTAAAACCTTAAAATATAATTATTTTTCCAAAATTATCACAAATGGCCTACTTGACCGATCGGAGGTATTACTGATATTATGGTTCACCATATGAATAATTAAAATTGATATGTATTATTAGAACACGATACTGTACATCATTATTATGTAAATTCAATCTCGTCAAACTCTTTGTTTATTAAAATATCAGCATAAAGAGAAATCATAATATCACTTCCACTAACCAAACAACAGTTGACGTCTGAAAAGGGAATTATTTCTAAAATAAACGTAAAAACCTTTACTGTTATTGCAAGGTAGAGATGTCCCCCGTTCAGTAGTAGTCACTTATCTATACTCGTTATTACATCGGATCTGATCAATGAATGAAGACATCATTGCTCCCATAACGTATAAGGAATGCTGGTTTCTAAAACAGACTTCATCTGGTGGTGATGTACGGGGTAGTCTTGTATCAACAAAGGTGAGTTACCAGATAAAATAATTAAATGTCAAAAAAGAACAATGGATTTATCGTGGACTTATGTAAAGGTATATTTAAAACATAAAAAACTTTGTTTCCCAACATCAAAAGACGTGACACTGTAATCAGGATTATTGACAAAAAACCCATCCAACATGTCAACATTATCCAAACTATAAAGATATGAATTGGTCGTCATCAAGGGTGGTAACTCAATTTGGCATAAACCGATTTGTTTGTCTTAAAAAAAAATCCCCCCCCCCCAAAAAAAAGAAAACAAAAACAAAAAACAAAAGCCCCTTTCAATCTATACAAAAGCATTGTGTCAATATTGGTCTCTTCCATGAGATTTACAATGAGCAATTTACAGAAGTGCACTCATCCATTCTTTAAGGTTACTTCAATGATTCATTAAAACACATACAAAACGAATTATGAAGCAGCATTCTATGGGTCATATAAAAAACGATACAACTGCTTAGCTAATGTAGTATTTCAAGAAAACCACATAGGAAAGATAAACACAAAAAGGATAACTTTTGTAAAGAGCAGTATTTCCAGAAATAAAAGAAAAAATCAAGGATACATATCGGGACTACCGGTCAAATCACAAAACATTTTTTTTCAAACATTATTCATGTATATCAAACATACGTCAACAATTGCTAATTTGATGAAGGTGAAAATATAGTGAACATGTATGATAACTATTAGCACAATTATAGTGTAGCATAAATGTAAAACAGGATTTCTCATAATTTACAGGATTCAACATTAGCACGTGCATATATTCAATCAATGAAATCAATTTTTCAATTAATATAAAAATAAAATTTACATGTAAAATCTTGGTTTATAAAACATCTTGCGAGACCGTAAGTTCACTATATTTGTAGTATATATAAAATAGTATGTACAATCAACATCATTTATATACTTATATATTAGATACAAAACTCTTAATTTCTTTAAAACACAAATTGCATAATTCAATATATATATACAAACTTATATACATCCTGGTTTAATGTTTTGTAGGTGATGAAGAGGTAAAATATCTTGGCATATCTATATATCCTACAGTCACGTTATCACAAGTAAAAGTATTTGTTTTTATCACAAGAATTAGCACTACGTCAAATACTTTTCATCTATAAAATGGAGACTTTCAGTTAATCACAAACCTCCAATCTAACACAGCTGAACAAGATCAAACTTTATGTGAATAAACAGCAGTTTTAAAGAATTCCATATGTAACGCCTTCATGGTTTGATGATTAACTGGAATCAATAGGACAAACTTTTTCTTACCAAGTTACAAATCAGTTGAGCCGTCGATGAATTATTGCATCCGTTATACCCAAGAATCAACTCGGAACATCAATTCACCACTAAGTAAAAGCCGAATGTGAGACATGTAGGTTTTTGGTCATCACGATCATTTATGGAATATTTTGTGAGTCGGATATAACACCATTTGTTTAATTAAGACATCAACAACATTCAGCTTTGATTCTGATGTAGTAGTTCTGCCTAAATCTGTTCATTAGTTTTAATTTGATTGCTGCATGGTCAGTATATCACATTAAGGAATATTTGTGTAGTAAAGCATTTGTATCGGAAGAAAATATACCCAAATATGGAACATTCTAGCTACAACCGACAAGAATGCACTCTGATTCACATCGTGTAGACTTATTTTTGTTTAGGAATGTCTTAGAGAGGTGTATGATAATGGTTCACAGTCTGGCGAGGAATCAGGGAGACTCGTCTTATAGCTGGCTGCCTTTCTGTGAGGAATGTCGCTTAAAGGTACGTTAGATTTGGAATTTCCCTGTAACAAAAACAAAGCTACACTGTAACAGATGTTTGATTCTATATCAGATTTATTCTACATCCTATCAATCCTTGTCGACTTTCATTTCTCTGGGATTATTTCTTCATCAGGATAGTGAAATGGTTAAGAATATCCCTATGTACTCGATGCTCTTTGAAGATTGTATAAAAAGGAAAAGTGACATTCAACATTTACTACAAATTGAGGAAAATACAGAAAAATAATGAATTAAACTGCATAGTAAAGCAGTTTTGTCCATATAGGACTCATGAGTGATGTTAAATCATTCAAGATTTCAGAATTTTCAAACATATCGAAAGCTTGGGCCTGTGCACATTTCTTTAGGTCTTTAGACTGAAGGACCATAAGAACTGTATTATTTTCTCTATGCTGGGTCAAAATATATAGATTGTATTAAAAGGTATCAACTGCATGCTTTTCCAACAATTTTTATTATTTTTTTTTTGTGTGTTATAATGAGAGATTGTGATTTACTAATTTGCTATATAAAATAAATTTTCTAAAAGTTAAATCATTTACTTTGACGGTAGTGAATTATACCGATATCATTGAACTAGGCAATGTGATGTATCATTGATTTTCTACTTGTTGGACTAAACAGGGATCTTGTCATCTTATTCAGAAACACATATAGGGGTGGTGGACCTTCACCTGGGTTTTCATTAAGGTTAGTCAAAAATATCACATACACTTCATACAGCTTAGAGATCTGACCCCTTGATAATGAAAAAAGATATTAAGCATGGAAATGTCTGTTTATCGCACATGAAACATCTGTCTAGACTTATTAAACCTGTTGATATAATACGAGACTTTGCATGAGGGTTGAGCAGTACATTCTAGTGAACGACATCGAACTGATAGACTCTTGACAGCATGTCTGTTGAAAAAGAAAATAATAAAAACTGCTACGGCAGCAATAGATAAATGATAAAGAATAAAGCTTTAAGCTAACAACCTGCCATGCTAAAAGTACAAGCACGCAATCTTTCAAGATATTTGTTCTAAAACTGAAACATATCACTTAAAATGATAGTATATTAGAAACAGTATATCTGACAACTAAGCTAGTGTCATAAAACAGATCAAAAACTGCATACACAGCTGCTGTGATGAACGACTGGTCATTGTTTATTTATAGAAGGCATTCGTAGCTACTTTGGAAGCTGAAACTAATGCAAAATTGATATAATTAATTTCCTATATGTGTTACTAGAGCCAGATAATGAACGATGACAGGCAATGACATTGTCCAACACTGACAAGAAAAACAAGGACTATTGGTCAAAAACTACTCTACAAAAGTTACACAATAAAAGCACTAAAACATAACTATCTAAACACAGAATTTGCAACACTTATGTAAAGCAAATGTACAGCAAATTAAAAAAAAGTTTCCTATCACAGTGACATATAATTTGCCGTCAGTCTAGCTAAGACTTACCCTTGACTATTCCGGTTTGGTCTTCGTTGGCAAATACAAAAGATATGTTTCATGTATTAAATCAAGGTACATTTAAAACTGCTTAGGGTGGATGTATTAATGACACATGTGTTGTATAATTTAAGACATGTTTTTAAAACATAAATATGATTTATTTTAATCAGTAAAACATTCTATACTTAAAATGATTTCAAATCTATATAGCGTAGATTTCATTTTAGCTAAAATTTTTACAACTTTTTATAGATTGGCTCTTTTATGTAAGAGGAATATCAGCCAAATAGTCCATACAAATCTGTCTTATAATTCCAGATATCAAAATATAATAACTGAATAAAGCATATCGTCAGAAATGAATGACATATTACTAACTTAATTCCCGTTCGTCACTCATCAACAACATTAAACATTCCTATTTCTGTTGATAGTTTCGTCACTCACTAAACCTTATACATTGTACAAAGACATTTATTTTTGTTAACAATAACGTCATGGATTGACGCTTGCCATTTTATCTTATCTTTAGTATTTCACCTACAATTACCAACTTAACACCGCGGACATTAATGTTTGGAGCCTTGTATCAGCAGTGTGACAGAAAGCGTTGAACTGATCTTCTATCATATACATGTCAAGTGTAAAATCTACATGGCTTGATTAAACACTTTGCAAAAGTTTAACACTTGGGAAGAAACATCAGTTGAGTGTAAAGTGACATAAACAAAAATGAGAGTGAATCTATGTTCCAGAATAAAAAAGCCCATCATTCATTGCACGTGGTCTACGAAGAAAAGGATATAGAAAAAAATCTACTACATGCAAAAAGTGTGTGAGTAGTGAAGAGCAAATAATAAAAGGCCTGTGACACTTAGAACTAACTACACATGCATCACTGTTTAAAGACACTGACTATCATTACAGTAAATATGCAGAAAAAAAGTCATAGACCATTGTTAAAAATACAACATTCAAAACGACTCGATTTTAGATCTTTGCAAAAATTCGTTAAAAATTTAACACAAAACGTCTTGATTAAAAAAAACCCAGCATCTTTTTTTCATGAATCCCTTGAAAGTTTACATAGGAAACAGTGTGTCATGGCTGTATTACTTTTGATGTTCTGTAGACAATAAATAAAATATATATACTGATACTTTAACTCACAAGTCTTACTTTGCTGGATCATTTCAATCTCATTAACTTACTATCAATACATAATCTGAGATCATCTTCTAAACATGAGGCCATAAAGGACAAGACATTAATTTACCAGTCCATTCCTCTTACCAAGTACAAATATCTAATTCCTACATCCTTCATGAAACTGACAAATATTGTCTCTATAATATCCTGCATTCTAGAAATGCAAAATTTGTGATCTGGATCTTCTTTCTTAGTGTGAATACCTAAGAACCATTAGAAACAATAGGGCACGGTTAAACAATGAGAAAGTGTCTACTCCGTGTTATCTCTGACACTATTAAGGTTAAGTATGTAATGCACCAAGTGGACAAGTCTCTAATCATGGTGGGATCAAATAAACAGCAAGCTTAACATATATCTTAAATGCTTATGAAGTTTAACTTGACAATCTTCATCTTATATATTCTAAAACATAATAAAGATGGAAAGGTGACTATTCAACTTTTCATAACGGCACAAATTCTACTTTTCATAACGGTACAAATTCTACTTTTCATAACGGTACAAATTCAACTTTTCATAACGGTGCAAATTCTACTTTTCTTAACGGTACAAATTCAACTTTTCATAACGGTACAAATTCAACTTTTCATAACGGTACAAATTCTACGTTTCTTAACGGTGCAAATTCTACTTTTCTTAACGGTACAAATTCAACTTTTCATAACGGTACAAATTCTACTTTTCTTAACGGTACAAATTCTACTTTTCTTAACGGTACAAATTCTACTTTTCATGTTAATGTTAAATATTACATCTCTGGACTTACTTTAACCATTAAATATCCTCGTTGTCACATCAAATCTGTAATTCTGTCTTACCACTAAAAACATATTACCTTGAAAATATTACAAAGTCCACTTTCTACTTTCGAGATCCATAAGTAGTTCCTACATGTATAATGGCTGAAATCAATATTCCAATCTCTTTAATTTTTCTTCTATTTCTGTTAATGTCGTGACCTTTACAGTTAAATGAAGATTACATGATCTACTGACAAAGAATGTTTAACACACCAAGAAAAGGCCACACAGAATTAGTTTTTTAGAAATCTGACAATTGGAAATAGAGTAAAGCTTGCATGCACATCACAAAACTAAGAACATATTGTGTCGAAGCTGAATAAATATAGTTTGTTTTCTCTCTTTCTTTTATTCCCACTCTCTAAAATATTACACACCAGAAAAGCACGTGAGAGACGAATGCTCAAATTGACACAATAAGTTATCACACATTAGTACAAATATACAGAGTACTAAAGACAGAAGCATGAGGATTATTGGAGAGGAAGTATCACAACACACTATGTTACCTACACAGAATCTTCCTGGTCACTCAGTATATCAATCTGTGAAAGCGTGAGCTTCCCAGACCGTTTAGTGACCGACATTGTCAGTCTGTCCAGTGTAGGTCCCTATAATACAAACAAGTCGCATTCATCAAACAATGTGCTGTGGACCAAAAATACATGAAGAAGCGGGGTTAAGATAATAGTATTCTCTAAGCATTAAATACACAAGTAATATCAAAATATAAACTCGCATTTTGAATGTACAATGTATATATCATTTTAGTAATAGTACACACATTTACATAAATAAGTCAAGTTCTATTAGTCATTTCAAAGAACATATATTAGAGGTATATATATATGCCAAGACTGCAACAAACTGGTAGATTGTCATCACTATTGCTGTGTGTGATCAAACAAGATTAAAACAGTAATTTGTTTGTTTCAATCACTTTTTTGATAATTTGATGGTCTTTATACTGAAGCATGTATCTTTAGTGTCAAAAATCTTAGTAAAAGCACAGCTATGAAGAAAGCATTAAATCGTCCCTCTAAGAGCATGCAATATAAAACCCTCATGGTATTGTGTCTATGTGTACCGATCCTAATAACAAGCAGAATGTGCCAACACAAGCCATTAAGTATGGTATTGAGACATAATTATACGAAAACTGGACAGCATCTAGCACCTAATACATAGAACATTATCATAAAATTTTGAAACGAGACATAAAAGGTGGTTTATAGGGTTCAATGAAAAATATAGTTTTTTGTGTAATATATGTACATACTTAATATGGATATAGGAATAGCTGCATGCAAACAGTGTATATACAGAATACACACAAAAAGGGGATTATTACTATTTACAATATTCATAATTTTTCTGTTGTAATCTAAGGAGAGGATTTCTACCATATGGGACGATCACAAGTATTTGAATAAAATCTGGTCTCCAATGCTGCCACTTCCACAATGTAACAAAGTCTGCTCAAGCAAAATATGTTAGTAATTATCCTAAAATGCAGATATTTGAAGAATTCCATTCATCTTTTAAAAATTTCTGTTTTATCACAGTATAATCAATAGTGCCCAGTATACAGTCTGAAGTTGTAGTCATTGAATAGTGGCAGAAACTTGATTAAATTAAGATTGAAGGCCTAGGTCATTACACCGCACAAAATTGTTATAGAAAAGATTGATAGGCTTATTTTCTGTGACAAAGTACGGGAACAGCCAAAAAACCCATAAAATTTGCATCAAAAAATGAAATATTACATTTCACAAAATTGTATATTTAATTGATTACATTCGAAACATGTTAGTAGTTCATGTGAGAGTCTATTACTTGTAAAACGTTTCAGTGACAATTTTGTTTGTTCATGCACTTTACCATAATAGTGTTTAAGATTTCAAACATTAATAACAAATTCCATGCCATGCACCAAATACAAAAATGGTGAAAAGAAAAATAATGTTTGTGTATTCCAGTTATTACTGTTTAGGGATTCTGGAGCAAACACTAGAGGTAGGTATCACACTCCATATAACAGGATATTTATACCTCGGTTAGTTTTCGAATGGTACTGTATTAACACTGTGCATCATATTTTCAACATACTGCAAGGCCATGTTGAATTGATAATAATTTTCATCATATTTTCATAAAAAGGAATAATTTTGTGTATTTCTACAAGGTGTGTGCCCAGTGTTAATCATATCCAGATTTCTTTCTTTAAGAATGAGAACAGTTATGCTTACAGGAAAAACTTTACAAGTTGTAGTTTGGTGTTGATTTCTTTAAGTCCAGACCGTACACAAAATCCTTCTTTCCCAGTAAACAATCTTCTATCTCCAAGATCAAACATCTCTTCTGATCAAGTTTCCAGTCCCTAGTAATGTCTTCACTATACATATGCTCTAGTCAAGTTTTTAACTTTCCCTTTCTTGATAGGAACATTCATTATGCTACTTCCATAATTTCCAGCACTTTGAGGATGATTTCTTCTTGGCATCTCTTATAAAACTCTGACTTAACTTGCATTAACATGTAAACAGTTTGTTTAAATAAAACTTATATATACACTTGTTACATAATCATAATGTTCCTTAAATGAACTGATTCATCACAAAGTAACCATGTCACCCTCAAAGCCTTTTTTAAATATCACGTCTGTTCAAGAACTCATTCTTATGCAAGTTGCATTGTTTATCTATACAGACATGTCTAATGAAAGAAAAAAAACTTATCAAAAGGATATCATATTGTTTCCACAGTATCTTAAATTAAAAACTGATTGGAAATTCTTCAAACGATTAACTTGGGTAAATGTAGGCGTAAATTGTTTTGAAAACTATATCACTTTACAATGAAAGCTATTCTCCTTTCTAATACATAGTTTTGTAGTACAGAGTACTGAAGATGGTTGCACACAGCACTAAGTGTTTGAATGGTCCTTATAATCATCCTTGGGCCATACTCTTGTTGTGTCTTGATGACAGGGCAACAGGGATAGCTACCGTGAAAAATTAAACAGAAATATTGTGAGGAAAAGAGTCGTTGAAATATTGTTAGTAAGTTAATGTGTATTTACATAACAATAAACAAAGTGCTTGTTTATGGTACATTAAAAATGTGCACAGGATATTTCATAATGTCCAATAATTAAGTGATAATCAAATATAGCTTTGCCACCCTTTGCTGTGAAATAACCCAAACATAACACACAGATTTCCAAACAAGCGTAGCGCTCTATTTTGAACTCTAGTTTCTTTCTTTGATATAATTTCTGAAGTACAGTGTAGATAGCATATGTATGTTTCAAAGTAACAAATATGGAACTAATAGGTTTCATACTCTCAACACATATCTCAGCGGTATATTTTGGAAAAGCTCTGAAAATGTTGTGCAAAAATCTGATTTTTTGTTGTATAGATAATGAGCAGAAATTCTGATTAGATATATAACCCTATATCTCACTCCAAGGTGTGTAGATGTCACTATCTGTAAACGACATTAAATCTTCATAAAAACATGTCATCTAAAGTGGCACAACTAAATGACATTTCAGAGTGTCGTCTCTACAAAGTGGCACAACTAAATGACATTTCAGAGTGTCGTCTCTACAAAGTGGCACAACTAAATGACATTTCAGAGTGTCATCTCTACAAAGTGGCACAACTAAATGACATTTCAGAGTGTCGTCTCTACAAAGTGGCACAACTAAATGACATTTCAGAGTGTCATCTCTACAAAGTGGCACAACTAAATGACATTTCAGAGTGTCGTCTCTACAAAGTGGCACAACTAAATGACATTTCAGAGTGTCATCTCTACAAAGTGGCACAACTAAATGACATTTCAGAGTGTCGTCTCTACAAAGTGGCACAACTAAATGACATTTCAGAGTGTCATCTCTACAAAGTGGCACAACTAAATGACATTTCAGAGTGTCGTCTCTACAAAGTGGCACAACTAAATGACATTTCAGAGTGTCATCTCTACAAAGTGGCACAACTAAATGACATTTCAGAGTGTCATCTCTACAAAGTGGCACAACTAAATGACATTTCAGAGTGTCATCTCTACAAAGTGGCACAACTAAATGACATTTCAGAGTGTCGTCTCTACAAAGTGGCACAACTAAATGACATTTTAGAGTGTCGTCTCTACAAAGTGGCACAACTAAATGACATTTCAGAGTGTCGTCTCTACAAAGTGGCACAACTAAATGACATTTCAGAGTGTCGTCTCTACAAAGTGGCACAACTAAATGACATTTCAGAGTGTCGTCTCTACAAAGTGGCACAACTAAATGACATTTCAGAGTGTCGTCTCTACAAAGTGGCACAACTAAATGACATTTCAGAGTGTCGTCTCTACAAAGTGGCACAACTAAATGACATTTCAGAGTGTCGTCTCTACAAAGTGGCACAACTAAATGACATTTCAGAGTGTTGTCTCTACAAAGTGGCACAACTAAATGACATTTCAGAGTGTCGTCTTTACAAAGTGGCACAACAAGAAACCAGACATTCTACCTGACAACATGGAAAACTGTGGTACCATCTGGTAGACATAATCAGAAATATTCGAAAGAAACTTCCACAAGTCCTTTATCAGACGAGTGAATTATTCACCATTACACTAATATCAATGGAATATTCATTGTTTTTGGATTTACCCAAGATTCTAACTGTTTTCATTAGAATTTCAAATTCTTTACAATAATAAACAATTTAATATCATTCTTCTCTGTCAGCATAAAATATTAAAAAAGTCAAACATTTTGAAAATTGATATAAATGACCATCTAACAGGAACATTCTTCCAACATGGTGCCACATCAATGATAACAAGACATCTGAGAGACAAGACACTCTGAACAAAAGACAACAACACTAACATGGTCCCACATCCATGATAACGAGAGGTCTGAGAGACAAGACACTGTAAACTAAAGACAACAACACTAACATGGTCCCACATCCATGATAAGGAGAGGTCTGAGAGACAAAACACTGTAAACTAAAGACAACAACACTAACATGGTCCCACATCCATGATAAGGAGAGGTCTGAGAGACAAGACACTGCAAACTAAAGACAACAACACTAACATGGTCCCACATCCATGATAAGGAGAGGTCTGAGAGACAAGACACTGCAAACTAAAGACAACAACACTAACATGGTCCCACATCCATGATAACGAGAGGTCTGAGAGACAAAACACTGTAAACTAAAGACAACAACACACTAACATGGTCCCACATCCATGATAACGAGAGGTCTGAGAGACAAGACACTGCAAACTAAAGACAACAACACTAACATGGTCCCACATCCATGATAAGGAGAGGTCTACATCTGAGAGACAAGACACTGTAAACTAAAGACAACAACACTATCATGGTCCCACATCCATGATAACGAGAGGTCAGAGAGACAAGACACTGTAAACCAAAGACAACAACACTAACATGTAATTCTTTTAAATGTGTTACAATACAATGTTACTTCATAGTTTTTCAGTAAGATGTTAGTGCTAAATACGTGGCCAACAGCTGAAAAATAAATCTTTATTTTTAAAACCATAGATTTCGTTGTTTTTGTACCAATAATTGGCATCCTTTCGTACATATACATGTAATTTTATGTATAGTTATCTATAACTCCTTACACCACTGTCACCGAAATATACCATTGTTTACGTAAACACGTAAAAAGGATAATTGGTTTATTTACTCGCAATGACACCAAGGATTTTTTCATCAAAGACTATAGATTATTTATCACTTTTCATCTAGAAACAATTTATTTGTTTAATCATAGTGTTATTTATATCATTTTAAGATGAAACATGTGTTTTTCAGTCAATCCATAAATTATGTTCACAAACAATTCAAAGTAAAAAAAGTCTGAAAGTGTAACATTACTGCCTCAATCATTTTCAAAAATATTTAAAATTTTGAAAGTTTATTTCATTTCAAACAATCATTTTAGTGGCTTAATTGACAAAAATGAAATCCAAAATGTTGACTAGTTGTTTCTGCAGCATATACACTGTACCTCATCATTAAATTTCACAAGAAACTATTACTTGTAACCATAATTTGTAATAAAACCTGAATCATGCCCCGCATATGATACATCAGCACATTTATACACTGTACAGGTACGTGTACTGTAATAAGCAACTTTTTCCGCTGGTTAAAATTTTCATACTTTAGAACAAATAATTTTCAATGTTTTGTTTTTTTTTAAGTTAACCTCTTAAGTATCACAGTAAAGTTTTGTTATAGATAAGAAATATCTTTATTACGATGAAAATTATAACCACAAGGAAAATCTCATGGTAAAGCCTGGACATTGGTACAAATAAAAATATCGCAACTATTCCTCATAATTAAAACACACAAAAACGGAATATTAAAATTTACCCTTAAGTTGCTATCCTCCAAGGTCTTGCTGATATCGTTGAAAACTCTGATGATGAGATCGGGCAGCAGGGCTAGGACTACCAGCAGTATAATACCCAGCCAAACCAGCACACTGCTCATTGTCTCGTAGAACACGTAGTAGTAGTTCTGAAGATCTAGTATTAAACTGTATCAAGTATATGTATCATTATTAGATTTCAGTTTCAAAATATGTAATAAACAAGAGGTCCAATAGGCCTGCATTGCTCAACATGTATATATATCAGCAAAATATCATGCTTCTAGGCCTTATAGTTTGTGAAAAGTAGTTTTAACTGATGCACCCCTGTGACCTTGAATATTGGTTAAGGTCATATCTTTTGCCAAACTTTGTCAGGATTCATCATAGGGATAAACCTGCCATATATCTAAACATATAGTCCATTGATTATTGAAAACTTGTTTTAAGAAAAATGTTGATACAGATAATGAAAATGGACGCTGCACCATGTCTAAAAATTGGTGGTATAAAGAGTGACCCTGTCACAAACTTTTTAACCGAGACAAAAACACTCTCCATAAATCATCTCGGAAACTGATTTCTTTTTATTATGTAGAATGAAGAAAGTAGATAAGGATTACTGTATCCTGTTAATTATCCCTAGTAAAATTGAATTCTCAACGTCTTTTGTCAGCCTGAAGCGCTACCAAGATATCATACTGACAACAATATGCTCATATATAATAAACACGCATTGCAGTTTGAAACTTAAAGTTTAAAATGAAATACAAATGTATATATTTTTATTTTGTATTGTTTAGGGACAAATTCAACACAGGGAAAAGACACAGAATTAAAAACTTTGTACAAAATATAAACAATCCAACTTGACAAGGAGACTACACATTGCTGTGTGATCTGTAGTACTTACGGCATTCTGATTCCGGAGTAAAATAGTGTCATTGCCAGGTTTCCCAGGATGGCTATCAGATAGGCTAGGAACATGGGTAGGTTCCAGGTGTAAGTCATTATAACCAACTGTAAACAACACAGAGAAACTACTTCAATAACATGTTACTTTTTACCTGAACCAGTGCTGTATACACTTATTGGGCAGCAATGGAAAACAGTTGTATTTTAGCAGGTGTATTTATTCTACACAATAACTTTCGGATTTACTTCAACATTTCACTTCAAAATATAAATAATATTTTAAATAAACAATTTTATTTGCTGTATCAAACAAGATTTATTTTACAAAAATTCATAAAACTGCTTTTGATATCCATTGAAATGTGGAACTATATTTCTCAGTGGAGCAACAATCATCATCACTTACCATTGTGTATAACGTTAACGTTAACTTAACAAAGATTGAATAAGCCAAATAAGTTGCTGAGGTTTCAATTGTCTAAATTTTTAGTAAGTTTTGCAGGATAAATAGAATACATGGCAAGTGTCTTAAAATACAAGTTTAATATGTGTGAATTCCCACACACTGCATAGACTAGTGGGTCCCTTGAAAATTACTTGTCACAAATTTGATGTGCCATGTGGAAACTGTGACAGTAGGCAGCTGTGAAAGAAGGCAGCTGTGAAAGAAGATTGGTGGAAGTATTCAATCCAACAAATAATATAACAACATCTCAGGGAGATGTTTTATCTCATGGCTGGAGATATGACTGTATCTAACAATGATATACAGTAATTAGAGTGTGATGTTTCAGTGTGATGTTTCAGTGTGATAGATGCCAACATGTAATACACTCACAACATACCTTAAAGTTGACACCAGCCACAACAGTAGTAAAAAGTACTGTCCCAAATGCCCAGCCACCAGATGACTGCAGAAATGAAATTTATATTCAAAGGTTTTCTTTTCAATGATATCAAGATATTTTTGACACGTATCATTTACCATACGACCTCACCTTGGGGACTAAAACCTGATGTGGTTGCTAAATAAATGATTTTTGAAAACTACTTAACTGGAACAATAATGATAGAACTTTCCAAGCAAATAACTGAGCAGAATAAGAATCAATACAAAGTCTCTTGGTTGTTGAAAAATATGTGTTTATTTCTACTGAGTTTCATATATTTGTCTTTAAAAGTAACTGTCTTTCATAAATTTGAAACATGTATATTTTCTACTGAATATCAGGATAAAACCAAAGGTGCAATCTCATAGTTTTATAGATTAAAAAAAAAAACATTAAAAAAAATCATCACATTTCACCCCCTGCAAGATACAGATTACAACATAAACATTTCCATGGATATTTGGCAGTGTATGATAGAATGTTTAATTGTGTTGAACCTTACCGAAAAGAAAATCTAAAATAAGTATATAGTGTACCTTTCCATCAGAGAATATAGAAATATCGTTTCCAACCAGGAAGTACACGCCAAAGAAGAAAACAGCTGAATGCCATAAACCTGCAATGTAAAGTAGGAGCTCTACATACCTGTTGATAGTGGATATATAGGACTGTTTATAAAATCATTTTTACAAAGAACAAGAGGCCCAAAGGGCCAGTATTGCTCACCTGGTTGAATTTACTGAAATTGATATAATATAAACTAAAGGAAAAAAAATTAAAAACACTGAAGTATATACTTCCCCAATTTTGCCTTGCCCCTCCTAGTAAAGGGGTTAAGATGTTTTTACAAAACCTTCACCCAAAGATGCTTCAGACCGAATCAGGTTAAAATCTGCTCAGTCGTTCATGACTAGTAGCTAATTATAGAAAATTTGACAGAGGACAGACGGATGGAAGATGAACAGAAGACAGATGCCACCATATCCCTGTAACTAACTAGGCCCTTCATGAGTGGTGAGCTAAAAATAACTACCTGTATTTGTAATGTAATGAAACTCAAAAACAGAAATCAGTTAATGTGTATCAAGTCTGATCCAATCTTAGTGAAATAAACAAGATCTAGTTGAATAAATCATTTTAATAAATGTAAAGTTTCAAAACCAAAACATAAAATATTTTTATTTTCATTTAATTGCTGTAGCACCTATAATCATACTTTACACCAATACTAAAATTAAGATAACTTATGGAAACCTACAATGTACAATACATATATAAATTCAGGCAATACAATACAGAAATAATGGCATGCATTAAAGACCAACATTCATCTCCATATTTGTTTCATTTACGGTATAATTAACTCGATTACAATTAATAATTAGTACGTTGTATGTACATAACAAATAGTACATCTAGTTCAAATACTAAGGATAATTAAAATATTTGTCTTGTAACACATTTATTTAGCAATAACTCCATGTCAGTAATAACCTCACCATATTTATAATGTTCAGAAGAATCTTAAATAAATGTATTAATACGTCTGGGCTTATTAATGGATAACCAAGGCACACATATGATCTTGTTCTGTTTTTTAAAAGATCTAAAGATAATGTTTAGTTATATAAATGTGTAATGTTCTAAACAGGTACTAGATAATCATCGACTTTGTGACAGTAATATTAGTAGAATTTTTTTTCAGACCAGTCAAGAACACTAATTCTAAATTTTTTATGAAATCCAATAATAGGCAAAATAGTGGGTTTTCAAAAGTTGAGTGAGTCCCCCAGGAAAAAAAATGAGTCCAAGATTTAAATATGTAAGTCCAAAGTATCAGCTTTTTAATTTTTTCTTTTCATTGCTGAATTGCTTAAAACTAGTGGCTCAATAAAAATTGTTTTAAAATTTTGAATAAATTCTAATGCAGTAATGTCAATCATTTTGATTAGTACATAAAAAAGAAGAATAAAAGAGGACAGAAAAACAAAATCCAAAAATAGAAAAAGTCAATCTTGATTAGGGGAGATGAAATAAAATGGCTAGAGGTCCATAGGGCCTGTAACTTTCAACAGGTTTAGTTTTTAACAGATTTGCTTTATTTACCATATTGGGCACTACACAATAGCTCTAAGGGGCCCCGAGACCATACCAGGATGCTCCACACCAAACTTGGTAATAATCCAATGATTCCTACTGGAGGAGTAGGTTTTAAAGAATTTTCTCTACTGGGCCAAATTGTTCCCGTCTCAGAGGGCCAAGACCCACAGAAAAAATATATTCCCCTCTACCTATGAATGGTTCAGACAAAATTGGACAAATTGCAATCATTTGTACAAGAAGGGGAAGATTTTATAGAACTTCCTCAATTTGCCCTATTGTGCCCTACCCCACTTGTTTCAGGGTGGTGAGACCCACCATTTGTAAACAATTGATTTCCCTTTACCTAAGAATGCTTCAAATCAAATTTGGATAAAATCAAATCATTCTTGTGGGAGGAGTAGAATTTTAAAGAATGTTGTCTATTTGCCCTATTGGGCCCTGGACTTCGGCCCTAGGGGGCTGAGATCTCCTGTTTATACAAAATTTATTCACCTCCTCCTGGCAATGCTCAAGACAAAATTTGGCCAAAATCCAATCATTCCTAAAGAAGGAGTAGGATTTTAAAGAATTGTTCTATTTCTCATATTGAGCCCTGCCCCTAAGGCCCCTGGGGGCTGAGACCCACCATTGAAAAAAAAAATAGCTGATGGATGAATGGACAGACAACAAATGAATGATGAACGTCTGCAGTATGGCATAAGCTCAGAGGCCCTTAAAACCATGTGAGATATAAAAACAAAAAAAAACCCTTACCTAACATAGGGGGTTAACAAGTCTATACAAACAAAAGAAATACAATTTGAGAAACAGAAGAGTGTAACACCATGTAATGTGGTTTAGTATCTTACCTAAGAAATTCCATTTAACAAAAGATTTAAACGACAGGGCAGCATTCCGGGCATTTTTTCTGCAAAACAAAAGAGGCACATGCAGCGGGTAAAACTACAACTAAAAGACAAAAATAAACATTATAGGGGTATTAACGCCCTAGTAACTACACAACATTTATCTACAAGATGCCTAGCGACCTTCAGGTCATCTGAGATAATACTAAATATAAAGGTTACAGGGTAAGTAGATTTCAAGTGTCATGAAAAAGAAATTTTAACATTGATGATTAAAGACTTAAGTGATATGTTATAAGCCTTTGGGGGTCTGAGCCTTTGGGGGTCTGAGTCAGTGTCAATATATGCATACCATCAAAATTGTTATTCTATGATAATAAGGTTTACCAAGTTATTTCCACCAGAAAATAATCAGCTTTATTCCCAAAAATTGAATTTTCCTATAAAAACTTAAGTAAACTTCAACTCTTCCCCTAATTTTCAGGGTGTTTTCTTAAGGAAATCAGTAACAACAGTCATATTGAAGGCCCATGTCAGCTTCAGTGAATCAGGACTGCCCTAACAACAGCCATATTGAAGGCCCATGTCAGCTTGTTCCATGTGCCATTGAAGCCCCATGTCAGCTTCAGTGAATCAGGACTGCCCCAACAACAGTCATATTGAAGGCCCATGTCAGCTTCAGTGAATCAGGACTGCCCTAACAACAGTCATATTGAAGGCCCATGTCAGCTTCAGTGAATCAGGACTGCCCTAACAACAGTCATATTGAAGGCCCATGTCAGCTTCAGTGAATCAGGACTGCCCTAACAACAGTCATATTGAAAGCCCATGTCAGCTTGTTCCATGTCCCATTGAAGCCCCATGTCAGCTTGTTCCATGTCCCATTGAAGCCCCATGTCAGCTTGTTCCATGTCCCATTGAAGCCCCATGTCAGCTTGTTCCATGTCCCATTGAAGCCCCATTTCAGCTTCAAACTATGGAACCATGATAGGTGAAGGTCATTTAATTAAAGCAAGTAATTAACATACTTTAATGAAACTACTAGTGCTGATAAAATTTGTTCAATGATTTAAAATAAAAGAGTTAAGACACAGTCAAGGAAATCATGCTAGTTACAAACAAAAATCAAGCAACATTCATCAACAGTTTCATAGAAAATGCCAGCAGCAGTCTTGATCCATTTTTAATACAAAACAAGAGATCCCAGTGGGATCTTGGCACCCACCATTTGAGGATCTGTTTTCAGTTCTTGAAGATTTGTTTATTTTTGTTTGTTTTTGTTTTTATTTCATTAATGTTTTTGAAACACCAACACTTAAATATTAGGAATTATTGACATTTTTAATAAATCAATTCTTCTGTTACTTCTCATGTGTCAACCCATACTCCATTAACTCAATTCCTTGCATGGTTTAGTATACATACCCTAAACAGTGTATTTATCAATGTTTACTTAATTTAGAAAATCTGATACTTGAGAATGACTGATCATGTAGGTAAGAAATAGCCATAAAACAATTACTCGCTGTTCAAATCCAAGATGGAGAGCTATAGGCCATTTTGTTTTTCAGATCATTTTAAATATGGGACAATGCTTAACTAGGTACCAAGAGGAAGCTAAGTATGAAATTTGAGAAGGATCCTGTCACAGCCATAACAAACTACTGTATTACTGTCGACATCCAAGATGGCTCCCTGTGGGCCACCTTGATTTCAAATCAGTCCAAAAAAGGTACAATGCACAACTAGGGACCACGGGAAACCAATACCTATGAAATATCAGAAGGATCATCCAGTACTTCCTCAGCAATAGCGGCAACAAGATTTTACTCCCAAAATCCAAGATGGCTGCCTGTCAGCCATCTAGATTTTGGATCAGTCTAAAAAAGGTAAAATGCACAGTAAGGGACCAATGGGAACGTGCATATGAAATATGAGAAAGATCCATCAGGTATTTTTCCAGAAATTGCGATAACAAACTTTTACTTTCAAAATCCAAGATGGCCGTCTGTGGGCCATCTTGAATTCGAATCAGTCCAAAAAGGTATAATGCACAACTAGGGACCAAGGGGAACCTGCATATGAAATTTGAGAAAGATCCATCCAGTACTTTCTCAGAAATAGCGGTAACAAGAATTGTTTACAGACAGACTGACGGACGGATGGTGAGACAGATGACGGACCACGGACGCAGGGCGATTTGAATAGTCCACCATCTGATGATCTGATCAGAAAAGAAAAATGTCAATATTTTCAAATAGTGGCATTTCTCTTTGTAAACTTAAAAATTAGCAAATAAAATCTAAATCTTATTAATGGGGAAATAATTATACAACTTGTCTCCATATCTTCAGGCAAGTATAAAACTAAGATTCAAACCCAGGACTTCTGACTCAACAAGATTAAGAGATATCTTTGGCCAAGCATGTCATATCATGTCTATATTTTACCAGGATTACATACTCCTCCTCCAGGAAAAGACTCCTTCTGGAGTTTCTAAAGTTTACAGTAATGTTAATGAAAGTATTGCTCCTATTGAGTCCCTATACCAGCCACAATGAAACACAGGTCAGTATTTATTTCAATGCCCCCACTACGATTTGAACCCATGGCCCCCAGCTAACTAGTCTGACGCTGATTGAGCTAAAGAGAGGCTCTCTATAGCGGAGTGGTATATTGCGGCTAACACTTTCAAGATCTTGCTGCACCCTTCTCCATATGACTTACTTGTAGAGTCGTGGATTCTGTAGAAGTTTAGGTGACTTACTTGTAGAGGCGAGGATTCTGTAGAAGTTTATATGACTTACTTGTAGAGTCGTGGATTCTGTAGAAGTTTAGGTGACTTACTTGTAGAGTCGTGGATTCTGTAGAAGTTTAGGTGACTTACTTGTAGAGTCGTGGATTCTGTAGAAGTTTAGGTGACCTACTTGTAGAGTCGTGGATTCTGTAGAAGTTTAGGTGACTTACTTGTAGAGGCGAGGATTCTGTAGAAGTTTATATGACCTATTTGTAGAGGCGAGGATTCTGTAGAAGTTTATATAACCTACTTGTAGAGGCGAGGATTCTGTAGAAGTTTAGGTGACTTACTTGTAGAGGCGAGGATTCTGTAGAAGTTTATATGACTTACTTGTAGAGTCGTGGATTCTGTAGAAGTTTATGTGACTTACTTGTAGAGGCGAGGATTCTGTAGAAGTTTAGGTGACTTACTTGTAGAGGCGAGGATTCTGTAGAAGTTTAGGTGACTTACTTGTAGAGGCGAGGATTCTGTAGAAGTTTATGTGACTTACTTGTAGAGTCGTGGATTCTGTAGAAGTTTAGGTGACTTACTTGTAGAGGCGAGGATTCTGTAGAAGTTTATATGACCTATTTGTAGAGGCGAGGATTCTGTAGAAGTTTATATAACCTACTTGTAGAGGCAAGGATTCTGTAGAAGTTTAGGTGACTTACTTGTAGAGGCGAGGATTCTGTAGAAGTTTAGGTGACTTACTTGTAGAGGCGAGGATTCTGTAGAAGTTTATGTGACTTACTTGTAGAGTCGTGGATTCTGTAGAAGTTTAGGTGACTTACTTGTAGAGTCGTGGATTCTGTAGAAGTTTAGGTGACTTACTTGTAGAGGCGAGGATTCTGTAGAAGTTTATGTGACTTACTTGTAGAGTCGTGGATTCTGTAGAAGTTTAGGTGACTTACTTGTAGAGGCGAGGATTCTGTAGAAGTTTAGGTGACCTACTTGTAGAGGCGAGGATTCTGTAGAAGTTTAGGTGACTTACTTGTAGAGGCGAGGATTCTGTAGAAGTTTATGTGACTTGCTTGTAGAGGCGAGGATTCTGTAGAAGTTTATGTGACTTGCTTGTAGAGGCGAGGATTCTGTAGAAGTTTATATGACCTATTTGTAGAGGCGAGGATTCTGTAGAAGTTTATATGACCTACTTGTAGAGGCAAGGATTCTGTAGAAGTTTATGTGACCTACTTGTAGAGGGGAGGATTCTGTAGAAGTTTATGTGACCTACTTGTAGAGGCGAGGATTCTGTAGAAGTTTATATGACCTACTTGTAGAGGCGAGGATCGTGTAGAAGTTTATATGACCTACTTGTAGAGGCGTGGATTCTGTAGAAGTTCTTTCTGTGATAAAGTCTGCTCAAACAGACTGTAGATGAAGATTGGCAGTGAGGTAAAAGTGATGTTGTACATCGCCAAGAACATAACATCATATATTGTCTGTAATATAAAAGAAGATATTTAACAGTCTGGTAAAAATGTGAGGCATGGAAACAGATGGACTGTATGTTTATATATTGTTTACACATTCCAGAACACAGACAGAGGTTTGAACTACAATTACAATAGACAGGCAATATGTTTATATATTGTTTACACATTCCAGAACACAGACAGAGGTTTGAACTACAATTACAACAGACAGGCAATATGTTTATATATTGTTTACACATTCCAGAACACAGACAGAGGTTTGAACTACAATTACAACAGACAGGTAATATGTTTATATATTGTTTACACATTCCAGAACACAGACAAAGGTTACTCTGAAAAAGTGGACTGTAACTGCTTATGTTGTAGATTTATTCTATTCTGTAAATATATTAAAAAAGCAATTTAAAATGTGTGTTTTAAAATATAGCAACTCACCTGTTGTGAGAAACCTGAGAAAAATGTGTAGAACAATTGAGCAGTGATAAAAGCCACATTCTGAAAGAGAAAAATACAAAGTTTTAAACAGTCATCAAAAAGTTACTTAAATTGCTGATAAGGAACAATTTCTGTCAAAGTACAAAACAGGATGTGTGTAAATAATTCTTAAATATGTATTTTTAAGACTATGAAGCTTATTCCAAACCTAGTGTGATTTTTTGACAACCATAAGTACTCACCTTATAGAAGAAGTATTGCACTAGATTAGCCAGTCTAGTGTAGTAAAAGTTGCCGTGAACCAGTATGGCACGTTTTAAAAAGCGAAATTTGGCAAATGCATAATCACTGTTACGGACTGCTTGGCGACCTTCCTTGCCCATGATCCCTACAAGAGAAAGTATGTTTTAAACAGATATTAACAAATACAATCACAGTATATTGTGACTAAATCTCAGACCAAACTTTTTGCCGTATGTTGTTTGTAGGACCTTGATCAACTGTTTCCCATATTTCCACACATTCTAGAGTTCTACCAAAACAACAATATTTGGCATTAAGCAGGGTGACACTGGTATGTGTTGGCTAGTCAAACCCAATGCCTTCCACATAGGAGCAAAAACTCTTTTAACTAAAGGCCAAATGTGAGGAAGCATCAAAGATGTTTGAGATGAAAATTAGTTTAGTCAGAAGAGAAATGTCTGTTTCCGAAATTTAGTCCCTTCTCACAAATTATACAATATCAACAATTCTTACATCCAACCAGCAGGACAGTTAAATTTTATCAAATATCTAGACCAATGTTTTTGTCTTTTACAAACTGAATGCTTTATGACTTCATTTAGGTAAATGTGGCCTCTTGTATCCACAGAAAACATTCTTTTTTCCTTTCTTACATATCTAATGAGCCAACCCATATCCATTGTTGTTTAGTGAACCTTGTTCATATTTAAGAAGAAAATGCTATGTCAATGTCCTGTGCCTATGTGCTGACTTGGAGTTAATATGTGTGTGTCGACTCCTTGGACTTACTGTAGGATAGATACAACATCACAGTATCTCACCTAATCCAACATGGGCCTCTTGTATCATGCTCACATCGTTTGCACCATCTCCTATGGCTGCAGTGACAGGACAGTCTTTGGAATTCTTTATCAATTTCACAACCTATAATGGTCAAACAGTCAAGTCAAGTCTGATATATTTTATATGTTAAAACATTGGTGTAAAAAGAGGCAAGCGGGTTGAAATCCATCCAGGTATGAAAAAGGAGTAGGGTTTTAAAGAAAAAGTTTACGCATGACGCCTGGCACACAATGACGGAAGAAACATGGAATAATACTTGCGTCAGCTTTCTGTGACAACACAACATAAAAGTGTCACACAAGGCAGACAGAGATTACATTGTCAGTACTTGCCTCAGCTTTCTGTGACAACACAACATAAAAGTGTCACACAAGGCAGACAGAGATTACATTGTCAGTACTTGCCTCAGCTTTCTGTAGTGGAGACATACGACAACATAAAACAGCCACACAAGATTGGCACAGACTCCGCAACAAATCAGCGTGGTCCTTCACAGCGAACCTCAGACTAGCACCATCAACAATTAGGACAAACGGCTGATCAGTAGGGGCATGATCTTTTCTACAACATAAATTTGTCGAGTGTAACACGTTTGACAGAAATCTGGAGAGTATTTGTAAAAAGGTTAAAGCACCTTCTATGTATTTATCTCTATCAAGATCTAGTTTTTCAATCTTAAAATGCAATTTACCTTCTTTTTTTCTCTTTAAAACTTGTCCAACCATGAGCTGATTATGACATTTCTGAAGACGATTTAATTTTCTATAAAAACATATGGAACTCATCTTTGGACATATAAATTATGTCTTAAGTTGTCCCACAGAAATGAAATTTTAATTTTTGTGTGCAAGAACTTGCCAAGAAATAATTAAAGAATCATTATCTGCCTAGCCTAATCATCAAAATTTTCTGGTAATGATAAAATTCGTGTTCTAACAGAAAATGTGATGTGTTACTTACATGCTTTTGAGTCTGGCCATTACCTCTGAACACTGTAGAGAGGAAGCCATCTGTGTAACACGTAATTCAGCAAAGCCTTGTTTGAAGTGACCAGCTGAGTAACTTATATTGACAGCTGTTTCTTCCTTGTCCCCTGTTAACACCCATACCTGTATCAAACAATACCTGGCTGTTTTAGATACCAATACCTTTGGGTCCAGGGATAGCTTTTCAATACCATAAGAGGATTCTTAATATCAAGCTTTCATTTTTGATTCTTAACTACAAAATTAACATCATCAGAGCACTCCATCACAACTTTTGTCGTATAGCTTGTTATTTTCACACGCATTCTTTCTTTGTTTTTTTGTGGGGAAAATTTGATCTGTGAAATTATAAATACTGTAAGCAATAAAAAAGTTGATTATCATTTGAAACTATAATAACATGGAGTAAACAATCCTGTTTTGATGAGTTTGTTGTTGACATCATGAGCAATACTCACAAAAATATAAAAACCTCTTAAAGCCAAATTGTTAAAAAATTTCTCTTTATTAAATGAAAACTGTGCAACTTTTAGCTGAGAAAAAAAGTCTGTGTAGTATGTAATACAATTAGTGATAAAGGTGTAAACTAGATTTATTAAGTACAAGCTTAGCGTGATAAGAAAAGATCAACCTCAGATGTAACCATAGCAGAAACAAATATTGGTACAAAATAATTCATCAGGGGAGGTAATTAGTATTTTTGATTCCCCCCCCCCCTTCCCCCTTCATTTAAAGTTAAAACTAGAAAGATAAAACAAAAATTCTCTAAGTAAAGCTGATCAGTTTACCTTGATGCCAGATTTCTGTAAAGACTGAATCGTATCTGGGACATCATCTTGAAGTTTATCTTCAACAGCTGTAGCCCCAAGAAGGTCAAGGTCACGCTCTATAAACTCAAAAACTTCCTCCAACTTAAAAAAGAAATGAAAGAATAGGTGAGACAATTGATAAAGATCTATTGGGCTGATAAATAGGTGAGACAATGGATAAAGATCTACTGGGCTGATAAATATCTTATCTAAATGTACTACATTAATTGAAACAGACATTCCAGATTAATTATCTCTCTCCCATTCTTTTAATTGACCAAGGTATCAAAATTAGATTAAATATTTCCAGTATGTTAAAGGTATGTGGTAATATGCCTGACAAAGCAAGTTTTCCCCATTGCAAGTGCTTCGGACAGCCTTATCCTCTGAGTAAACCTAAATTTATGTTCATGTAATTAATTTCCAAATTGTTGTAAAATTGATAAATTTTATAGCTAATTTGTTATTAGTCAAAATGTTTACAATTGTACGAAACCAGTAAGATAAAGACCCCTTATATTGGTAGACTGATTGTGTCGTAGACCACCACAACCGCTTATATTGGTAGACCACCACGACCCCTTATATTGGTAGGCTGATCGTGTCGTAGACCACCACGACCCCTTATATTGGTAGACTGATCCTGTGGTAGACCACCACGACCCCTTATATTGGTAGGCTGATCGTGTCGTAGACCACCACGACCCCTTATATTGGTAGACTGATCGTGTGGTAGACCACCACGACCCCTTATATTGGTAGACTGATTGTGTGGTAGACCACCACGACCCCTTATACTGGTAGGGTGAACGTGTCGTAGACCACCACGACCCCTTATACTGGTAGACTGATCGTGTCGTAGACCACCACGACCCCTTATACTGGTAGACTGATCGTGTCGTAGACCACCACGACCCCTTATATTGGTAGGGTGATCGTGTCGTAGACCACCACGACCCCATATATTGGTAGACTTATATTGGTAGTTTAGTAATAAGTCTACATGTACATCATGTACCAAAACTTACCATGACCTCTCGACTGTCCAGAGAGTTTCTGGCTTGATGGAGACGCCTATCAATTTCACTGTATTGGTCTGACGTGAGAAGTCGCCTCGCCAAGACCAGAGTCCTCAGGCCAAGCTGTTATGGATAACAATTAAAATTCATCATACACTCAACAATAATATCAAACATCGTGAAAGATCACTTTTCCCTTCACTAACAACAAGTAGGAAGTTTAAAATTTACTGTAAATGATATCAATTTTGACAGAAAATTTCTTTAAATGTGTAATTAAGTGACAAAAATTTATCTTTTTTTTTCAAATTTCAATTTGAAGCAGTTAGAATTTCTCTTGTTATGAACACATCACTTCATCGACTGCATAAAACAAGGAATCATTCTGTTATATCAATCAATCAACCTTGTAGTAAATTTTCCAAACAACCAAAAACTTATGTGTTCAGTATAACCATGTGTTATGGTGGCACTCCCACAGCCAGAATAGTCAGTGTTCAGCAAAGGAGCTTTACCTTCAAACAGTTTTTGTTACAAATTTAAGCCTCCCCTGAATAACTTAAAATTTCAAATTCATAACAGATATTTTTGGTTCAACAAATTAAAGTCTTTCGAATACTGTAAAGAGTGAACTTATCCAAATATCTTGTTTAATTTCCACAGAAATGTAAAGAAAAATATATTTTTTTTCTTCTCTTTTTAATTACTATATAATAGTATCATCAGAAAGCTTCAGGCTGTTGACATCTGAAAAAGGCACGACCTCTCCAGTAAGTGATCTAAATAATGTAGCTGTAGGTTAATTTCCATAATTACAATAAATTTTCAATGAATCCCGACAGTTTTTATTTGTATTTGTGTTGTATTTCAAATAAGAGAATTTTTTTACTAGAAGCTTTAAAGCTCATTGCTTAAAGGATTTCACTGAGAAAGTTGTGGGAATTCTGTAACAGGCTGCAGATATTTACCAGTGCATAATCAGTGACATGCTGTAACGTAGCTTCCTTAAGTCTAGGGGTCACACGGTCCAAAATGGCTGACTCTGCACCCTTACATAGCAGGTAAATCTCATCTGAATTAAAAAGAAAAATTACCGAACTATTACACATATCTAGGATCTCTCAAAATGCCTGAAATTTTCTACATGACCTTAACTTTGTAATGAAAGAACCACATTTCATAAATTTCATAATTATGATCCTGACCTTGTACTGAATGACCCATCCATGAACTATTAATTATCTTGTCCTTGACCTGGTCCATTCATTTGACCTTGTACTGAATGACACTGACCTTGTTCATTCTGTATGATGACACTCATTCTTTTCCTGGTAGGGTCAAACTCAAGTACATGTAACAGTTTGTAACGTCTCATTTCACCCATGAAGGTCACTTCCAAACGGTCGTCATGGATACCATGGAGAACAATGCCGTACCTAAAAGGATTATTGAAATTTATATAATGATTTTGTATATCAAGGTCAGAACATATAATGGCCATGATTATCCAGTGAAACATCTTTCCCTGCTCAGGACACCAGGTTTTGTTTTGTGGCACCACCCATAGAGTTAAACTTATAAAGAAGTGTTTATTTTGAGTTCTTGAGTCAAGAGGATGTTTAACTGGAATAGGCCTTGGCTGCAAACATATCAGTGACTCTAACTCATACAACAACAAAAACAAATACTTGTCCACACCAGCAGCTATAATACATACAACCAATGTATCCTAGTTTTTTCTCTAAAATGGAAGAAAATAAAAGAAGGTCCAACAAACAAAAGAATTATTTGATCTCCATTTTTTTTGTGTTTTTTATTATTTTTTCTAATCTTTATTTACTCTTATTATCCATAATTCTGTTAAATTTATATTACAGCTCTGTTTGGTATTGACTTTTCATTCAAATAAATCAGGGCTGCGTTCCTGCAACCAAGTTGAAATGGTTCAGGTAGTTTAGCATTATTCCACTATACACGAATGCAGTTGTACTGGAAGTTGGACCTTATTTATGTAAAGTTCAAAATGTAAAGTTTTGGAATTTCCTGTCAAGCATAAATCAATTAACTTACATTAAGATACCCTCCATTTCACTCCATAGCACAATGCTCCTTGATATATGTGAGTAGCCCGAAACTACTTTTTGTGCTGAAATTCTAAAAACTAATGCTATTCAGCCAGACAGTTTCGGACAGGTACGGCTGGACCACTTAAACTGTATGTGCCAAATATTCCACAGACCACCCTTGGTCCCGATCTGTACCTGGCGTTCTTCTTGCAAATTTAACTGGTCAAATCGTTTCAAATGGTAAAGCAGAAACACCCTTAGGTCGCCTCGTCTTTCCTGTAGTAAAGCCCAGAGAGGTCCACATCTTATTTTTACTCAGAGCCAGAGGGGCTTTTACAGAACAACAGATCTGAATAGTTTAAGTTGACTTTGACTAAACATCAATATGTTTGGAGCCTGTATCATTCCTGGAAAGATTTTTTATTCTTACCTCCGACAGGCCTCGAGGAATGCTTTTTCATCTGGTGAAGAGGACTGGTATTCATAGTCCATACCAGAATGATCATAAACTCTGTCGGAAGCCTTCTCACTTAAGTGTGATCGAGGATGGTCCACACGTACAGTGTGACACAGTGCAAGAACAGTAAAAAAATCCTCCATTTTTTTCTGATGAAAAAATAAGTCACTTTTTAGTAGTATGCTCCCTATAGCAGTTATTTACATTTGTCCATCATTACAAATTTCAATACTTATAATAGAGTAAAAAATTTACCTTACATATCTCAATTCAAAAAGTCACTTTCATATCAGTATGCTAGGATTTAAGAATGAGAAAGATATCTTACAGTGTAGATTTACTAAAATGTTGTTTTACATCCTATTGACAGCTAGGGTCATTTAAGGATGTAACAGGTTTGGGTGGTGGGGAACAACTCCAGTTCCTGAAGAAAAATCCTCACCCTAATGACTGCCCCACATAGGCCTAAAACCTGCGTCCCAGAGATGGAAGGCTAGTGATAAACATGCTTTAAGGTCACAGCCACATCAGCCCCTATAAGGGATATATTGACTTTATAGTGTCAAAACATCAAGTATTTTAAGGTGTTCAGACTGACATTATAATAATATGGGGTAAATATGAACAAATCTGTTCAGCGATTTTCAAGACAGGACACATGATGGACGGATGGACGGGCAGACAGATAGACAGACAGACATGTATTATAAACACAATACAAAAACATCCCCATCCTTCCCCTGTAAAATATCCGAGGCATATAGCAAGTCATACATAGGCTAGCCAGCTGTTTAACAGAAAAGGGTCATTCCCAGAGCCATTTGACTGCATTGGTCAGATAATTTAAGGCTTTTTGAAGGTCAGATTATGGAGAGCATATTGAAAGTGAATGTTTAAAGGGCTGAGATTGAAGAGAACCTCTTTATGTAGACAATCACAGTTTACAATTACAACTACCTTTAGAAAACAAAACCTCCCTACATAGACAATTACCCTAATAATACTTTATGTAGTAAGACGTTTTCTATCTGTAATTCTTTATTGTAGTTTTCAACGAAAAATGGCAGTTCGCAGGAACTCATACTCACTAACTATCAAAATACTGCAAAAACTTTGTATTTACTTAGATCTTTACCATAAAATAAAGCAGATATTAAAATAGAACATAATTAATACAAAAAACATGAATTGTACTAGAACTGCATATTTCTATCATAACTGCATGGAACCATGATTGATTTTTGAGGATTTTTCCTATTCCTAAAGAAGGAAATTGCTCATTCATTTTCTGACAAACAAATTTGTTTATTTGTGAAATAATTTTTCTCCAATTTACATAATTTTTTTTTATTTTACTTACGGTCATACTAGTGACAGGTTTGCCATGTATCTGACCGGGCCTTTTTTCCACCAAGATGTTGTCCACTTCCATATACTGGTCACCACTGATAGAACACTCACGGAACTGCATTTCGTTCTCCGTCAGTGTTCCTGTCTTGTCTGTGAACAGGTACTCTACCTACACAAAGAGATGTCAGAGTTTTTATAAATAAAGCACCAAGGATCATGAATTACAGCAAAAAGCCTCGACAGGACACCACAATAAGATATATCTGTCATCATCAATTTGTGACTATAAATAGGAAACTGACTTTTTTCTATTCAAACTTTTAGTAATATAGAGTTATCTGTTCTTGTGTGCAGGCATTGATCATATTGTTATTAGTCTGCAAGAGAAAATACCATTGTTTCCTTAAGGCATTACTCTCACAAACAACCAATGTCTCCACAGTAGAAAAATCCAGAATTACAAAAAAAAAACAAAAAAAATGCAGAAAGAAGGGACATAACTCTTACATTGCCAAATTTCTCTTGGTTAATAATATTAAAAAGCAAGAAAAGTTTTATGGCATCATTTAACAGTAAAAGAAAGATAATTTCAAAAGCAATATTTTTTAAATTAAAGTTTGACAGAAAGACAAGCATTCTCAAGTGGCAGAACAAAATGTGATATATATTTAACAACAATAAACAAAATGTGATATATATTTAACAACAATAAACAGAATGTGATATAAGTATTGCAATATTAAACAGAATCAGTGAAATCTTGCACAAGTCAGGGGACTTAATGAAGAGGTGTTTTGGTTTACAAAATATTAATTACAGACCTGACCCAGTTCCTCGTTGAGATCAGATGTATTAGCTTTGGCTGGCTGGTCCATTTTTTCATCATACATATCAATATCCCAGTTAAAATATAATGAGCCTATAAATTTCTGTATTTCTGAAAAAAAAATCTCATCAATCAACAACTCAAAAAATATGGAACCACTTTTAAAATTGATAGATCTACTAATATATACCAAATTTTGTTTTATCATTTCATTGATGATCAATTTAGTTTTAGCTAAGATGTATGTTCTAAAATTATCTGATATATGAAATTAATTTAGTTATGGGACTATCGAACCTCCCCAGCTAGATTTTGACTTTTCTTTCAATCACTTTTTCTTTTCCTCATTCACCACCTCAGCTTCGTATCAATGACGAGTCACTGACAGCTGTATGATGGAGTTAAAGTCATTGCTCTAAACTAGCTCTAAATTTGAATGAAAAGTTGATATTAACTTGTGCTTTTTGTACAATCTGTTATTTCTTTCAAATATTTTCTCTTTTTAAAAAGCTTTCAACCTAAAGACTTTATTCATTTGGGAAGAAATCATAAAGAGACAAAAATTTCTCATTCACTCTAAATTGAAAACCATTCAACCTAACAGACAAAACAACAAAAAAGTTATCTTTGACACTTCTCAAATAAAATTTCTTTTACTACAATAAATAAAATGTAAACATATGTAAAAAATAGTAAATATATGTAAATATTAAGATCAACAATATACTTACCTACAGTTACATACATAGATATCGGGATGAAATAATTAAATAGGACCATGAAAGACAAAAACGTCTCTATTGCTCGTAAAGCCTGCAAAGCAAAAACAGAACAAAGTTATCAAGAACACTGATAATCTCTGCTACACAGTTGGTTATGTAGTGACCGCTGATGTGGTCAATCCTGTGTATTTTATGTCACTTGATATAGGGTTGACCAAATCTTCTAATATCATGACTATGGATGAAAATCTAGATCATATGATCACTATGTACCAATATATGTCAAACTTAAACATAACTTAAATTGAACTAGGGCAACAAAATTAACATAGATACAAATTTCTGTGTCAATAAATCATATCATTATTTTGAGAGGACAAAATACAGCCTCTATATTCTAACTTTTTACTGTGAAACAAAATATTCCAATTTCAGGGATTCCACATAATCCTCAAATTGACAGAAAAACCTAGAATCCCCTCCCTGATATACAGTATCCAGGACCCTGAATCCCCTCCCTGATATACAGTATCCAGGACCCTGAATCCCCTCCCTGATAAACAGTATCCAGGACCCTTAATCCCCTCCCTGATATACAGTATCCAGGACCCTGAATCCCCCCCTGATATACAGTATCCAGGACCCAGAATCCCCTCCCTGATATACAGTATCCAGGACCCTGAATCCCCCCCTGATATACAGTATCCAGGACCCTGAATCCCCTCCCTGATATACAGTATCCAGGACCCTGAATCCCCTCCCTGATATACAGTATCCAGGACCCTGAATCCCCTCCCTGATATACAGTATCCAGGACCCTGAATCCCCTCCCTGATATACAGTATCCAGGACCCTGAATCCCCTCCCTGATATACAGTATCCAGGACCCTGAATCCCCTCCCTGATATACAGTATCCAGTAGGACCCTGAATCCCCTCCCTGATATACAGTATCCAGGACCCTGAATCCCCTCCCTGATATACAGTATCCAGGACCCTGAATCCCCTCCCTGATATACAGTATCCAGGACCCTGAATCCCCTCCCTGATATACAGTATCCAGGACCCTGAATCCCCTCCCTGATATACAGTATCCAGGACCCTGAATCCCCTCCCTGATATACAGTATCCAGGACCCTGAATCCCCTCCCTGATATACAGTATCCAGGACCCTGAATCCCCTCCCTGATATACAGTATCCAGGACCCTGAATCCCCTCCCTGATATACAGTATCCAGGACCCTGAATCCCCTCCCTGATATACAGTATCCAGGACCCTGAATCCCCTCCCTGATATACAGTATCCAGGACCCTGAATCCCCTCCCTGATATACAGTATCCAGGACCCTGAATCCCCTCCCTGATATACAGTATCCAGGACCCTGAATCCCCTCCCTGATATACAGTATCCAGGACCCTGAATCCCCTCCCTGATATACAGTATCCAGGACCCTGAATCCCCTCCCTGATATACAGTATCCAGGACCCTGAATCCCCTCCCTGATATACAGTATCCAGGACCCTGAATCCCCTCCCTGATATACAGTATCCAGGACCCTGAATCCCCTCCCTGATATACAGTATCCAGGACCCTGAATCCCCTCCCTGATAAACAGTATCCAGGACCCTTAATCCCCTCCCTGATATACAGTATCCAGGACCCTGAACCCCCTCCCTGATATACAGTATCCAGGACCCTGAATCTACTACTAGATATACTTACTGTTAGTTCTGATTCTTTGTCCATGTCTGGTAGGTACCAGAGTTTGTCTTTAACAGACGACCGATTCACAAACACATACTTTAGGATAGTACATGTCAGTGATTCTATTAAGAGTACCACAAGAAATATGATCAAAAATGTATTCATTGCTCTGAAAACAGAAACATAGTAGGATATTAGCTGATATTGCTGTATTTGTCCTAAGCTGGTGAGACATTTTGTAGGTCATATAACACGTTAGCTTCATAATTACAGTCATATTCATTTGAATTCATTTTAAAAAGTTGAAATTAACAACCCTTCTAATTCATAATTACCTAGAAAATTTGAAACCTGGATTAACAGGTAAACATGATGTTTATGTATGTACATGTAAATAAATTGGCTTCAATTATTTTTATCAAAATGAGGAATATTCTATAAGATGAATGTTATGAACAAACCTTCATACATAACAACAGACAGGTAAACACTGAACAAACCTTCATACATAACAACAGACAGGTAAACACTGAACAAACCTTCATACATAACAACAGACAGGTAAACACTGAACAAACCTTCATACATAACAACAGACAGGTAAACACTGAACAAACCTTCATACATAACAACAGACAGGTAAACACTGAACAAACCTTCATACATAACAACAGACAGGTAAACACTGAACAAACCTTCATACATAACAAACAGGTAAACACAGAACAAACCTTCATACATAACAACAGGTAAACACTGAACAAACCTTCATACATAACAACAGACAGGTAAACACTGAACAAACCTTCATACATAACAACAGACAGGTAAACACTGAACAAACCTTCATACATAACAACAAGTAAAACTGAACAAACCTTCATACATAACAACAGACAGGTAAACACTGAACAAACCTTCATACATAACAACAGACAGGTAAACACTGAACAAACCTTCATACATAACAACAGACAGGTAAACACTGAACAAACCTTCATACATAACAACAGACAGGTAAACACTGAACAAACCTTCATACATAACAACAGACAGGTAAACACTGAACAAACCTTCATACATAACAACAGACAGGTAAACACTGAACAAACCTTCATACATAACAACAGACAGGTAAACACTGAACAAACCTTCATACATAACAACAGACAGGTAAACACTGAACAAACCCAGATCCCTTACAACACGTAATCACTGAACAAACCTTTATACATAACAACAGACAGGTAAACACTGAACAAACCTTCATACATAACAACAGACAGGTAAACACTGAACAAACCTTCATACATAACAACAGACAGGTAAACACTGAACAAACCTTCATACATAACAACAGACAGGTAAACACTGAACAAACCTTCATACATAACAACAGTCAGGTAAACACTGAACAAACCTTCATACATAACAACAAGTAAAACTGAACAAACCTTCATACATAACAACAGACAGGTAAACACTGAACAAACCTTCATACATAACAACAGACAGGTAAACACTGAACAAACCTTCATACATAACAACAGACAGGTAAACACTGAACAAACCTTCATACATAACAACAGACAGGTAAACACTGAACAAACCTTCATACATAACAACAGACAGGTAAACACTGAACAAACCTTCATACATAACAACAACAGGAACAAACCTTCATACATAAACACTGAACAAACCTTCATACATAACAACAGACAGGTAAACACTGAACAAACCTTCATACATAACAACAGACAGGTAAACACTGAACAAACCTTCATACATAACAACAGACAGGTAAACACTGAACAAACCTTCATACATAACAACAGACAGGTAAACACTGAACAAACCTTCATACATAACAACAGACAGGTAAACACTGAACAAACCTTCATACATAACAACAGACAGGTAAACACTGAACAAACCTTCATACATAACAACAGACAGGTAAACACTGAACAAACCTTCATACATAACAACAGACAGGTAAACACTGAACAAACCTTCATACATAACAACAGACAGGTAAACACTGAACAAACCTTCATACATAACAACAGACAGGTAAACACTGAACAAACCTTCATACATAACAACAAGTAAAACTGAACAAACCTTCATACATAACAACAGACAGGTAAACACTGAACAAACCTTCATACATAACAACAGACAGGTAAACACTGAACAAACCTTCATACATAACAACAGACAGGTAAACACTGAACAAACCTTCATACATAACAACAGACAGGTAAACACTGAACAAACCTTCATACATAACAACAGACAGGTAAACACTGAACAAACCTTCATACATAACAACAGGTAAACACTGAACAAACCTTCATACATAACAACAGACAGGTAAACACTGAACAAACCTTCATACATAACAACAGACAGGTAAACACTGAACAAACCTTCATACATAACAACAGACAGGTAAACACTGAACAAACCTTCATACATAACAACAGACAGGTAAACACTGAACAAACCTTCATACATAACAACAGACAGGTAAACACTGAACAAACCTTCATACATAACAACAGACAGGTAAACACTGAACAAACCTTCATACATAACAACAGACAGGTAAACACTGAACAAACCTTCATACATAACAACAGTAAACAGGTAAACACTGAACAAACCTTCATACATAACAACAGACAGGTAAACACTGAACAAACCTTCATACATAACAACAGACAGGTAAACACTGAACAAACCTTCATACATAACAACAGACAGGTAAACACTGAACAAACCTTCATACATAACAACACTGACAGGTAAACACTGAACAAACCTTCATACATAACAACAGACAGGTAAACACTGAACAAACCTTCATACATAACAACAGACAGGTAAACACTGAACAAACCTTCATACATAACAACAGACAGGTAAACACTGAACAAACCTTCATACATAACAACAGACAGGTAAACACTGAACAAACCTTCATACATAACAACAGACAGGTAAACACTGAACAAACCTTCATACATAACAACAGACAGGTAAACACTGAACAAACCTTCATACATAACAACAAGTAAAACTGAACAAACCTTCATACATAACAAGTCAGGTAAACACTGAACAAACCTTCATACATAACAACAGTCAGGTAAACACTGAACAAACCTTCATACATAACAACAGACAGGTAAACACTGAACAAACCTTCATACATAACAACAGACAGGTAAACACTGAACAAACCTTCATACATAACAACAGACAGGTAAACACTGAACAAACCTTCATACATAACAACAGACAGGTAAACACTGAACAAACCTTCATACATAACAACAGACAGGTAAACACTGAACAAACCTTCATACATAACAACAGACAGGTAAACACTGAACAAACCTTCATACATAACAACAGACAGGTAAACACTGAACAAACCTTCATACATAACAACAGACAGGTAAACACTGAACAAACCTTCATACATAACAACAGACAGGTAAACACTGAACAAACCTTCATACATAACAACAGACAGGTAAACACTGAACAAACCTTCATACATAACAACAGACAGGTAAACACTGAACAAACCTTCATACATAACAACAGACAGGTAAACACTGAACAAACCTTCATACATAACAACAGACAGGTAAACACTGAACAAACCTTCATACATAACAACAGACAGGTAAGACAGGTAAACACTGAACAAACCTTCATACATAACAACAGACAGGTAAACACTGAACAAACCTTCATACATAACAACAGACAGGTAAACACTGAACAAACCTTCATACATAACAACAGACAGGTAAACACTGAACAAACCTTCATACATAACAACAGGTAAACACTGAACAAACCTTCATACATAACAACAGACAGGTAAACACTGAACAAACCTTCATACATAACAACAGACAGGTAAACACTGAACAAACCTTCATACATAACAACAGACAGGTAAACACTGAACAAACCTTCATACATAACAACAGACAGGTAAACACTGAACAAACCTTCATACATAACAACAGACAGGTAAACACTGAACAAACCTTCATACATAACAACAGGTAAACACTGAACAAACCTTCATACATAACAACAGACAGGTAAACACTGAACAAACCTTCATACATAACAACAGACAGGTAAACACTGAACAAACCTTCATACATAACAACAGACAGGTAAACACTGAACAAACCTTCATACATAACAACAGACAGGTAAACACTGAACAAACCTTCATACATAACAACAGACAGGTAAACACTGAACAAACCTTCATACATAACAACAGACAGGTAAACACTGAACAAACCTTCATACATAACAACAGACAGGTAAACACTGAACAAACCTTCATACATAACAACAGACAGGTAAACACTGAACAAACCTTCATACATAACAACAGACAGGTAAACACTGAACAAACCTTCATACATAACAACAGACAGGTAAACACTGAACAAACCTTCATACATAACAACAAGTAAAACTGAACAAACCTTCATACATAACAACAGACAGGTAAACACTGAACAAACCTTCATACATAACAACAGACAGGTAAACACTGAACAAACCTTTATACATAACAACAGACAGGTAAACACTGAACAAACCTTCATACATAACAACAGACAGGTAAACACTGAACAAACCTTCATACATAACAACAGACAGGTAAACACTGAACAAACCTTCATACATAACAACAGACAGGTAAACACTGAACAAACCTTCATACATAACAACAGACAGGTAAACACTGAACAAACCTTCATACATAACAACAGGTAAACACTGAACAAACCTTCATACATAACAACAGACAGGTAAACACTGAACAAACCTTCATACATAACAACAGACAGGTAAACACTGAACAAACCTTCATACATAACAACAGACAGGTAAACACTGAACAAAACTTCATACATAACAACAGACAGGTAAACACTGAACAAACCTTCATACATAACAACAGACAGGTAAACACTGAACAAACCTTCATACATAACAACAGACAGGTAAACACTGAACAAACCTTCATACATAACAACAGGTAAACACTGAACAAACCTTCATACATAACAACAGACAGGTAAACACTGAACAAACCTTCATACATAACAACAGACAGGTAAACACTGAACAAACCTTCATACATAACAACAGACAGGTAAACACTGAACAAACCTTCATACATAACAACAGACAGGTAAACACTGAACAAACCTTCATACATAACAACAGACAGGTAAACACTGAACAAACCTTCATACATAACAACAAGTAAAACTGAACAAACCTTCATACATAACAACAGACAGGTAAACACTGAACAAACCTTCATACATAACAACAGACAGGTAAACACTGAACAAACCTTCATACATAACAACAGACAGGTAAACACTGAACAAACCTTCATACATAACAACAGGTAAACACTGAACAAACCTTCATACATAACAACAGACAGGTAAACACTGAACAAACCTTCATACATAACAACAGGTAAACACTGAACAAACCTTCATACATAACAACAGGTAAACACTGAACAAACCTTCATACATAACAACAGACAGGTAAACACTGAACAAACCTTCATACATAACAACAGACAGGTAAACACTGAACAAACCTTCATACATAACAACAGACAGGTAAACACTGAACAAACCTTCATACATAACAACAGACAGGTAAACACTGAACAAACCTTCATACATAACAACAGACAGGTAAACACTGAACAAACCTTCATACATAACAACAGACAGGTAAACACTGAACAAACCTTCATACATAACAACAGACAGGTAAACACTGAACAAACCTTCATACATAACAACAGACAGGTAAACACTGAACAAACCTTCATACATAACAACAGACAGGTAAACACTGAACAAACCTTCATACATAACAACAGACAGGTAAACACTGAACAAACCTTCATACATAACAACAGACAGGTAAACACTGAACAAACCTTCATACATAACAACAGACAGGTAAACACTGAACAAACCTTCATACATAACAACAGACAGGTAAACACTGAACAAACCTTCATACATAACAACAGACAGGTAAACACTGAACAAACCTTCATACATAACAACAGACAGGTAAACACTGAACAAACCTTCATACATAACAACAGACAGGTAAACACTGAACAAACCTTCATACATAACAACAGACAGGTAAACACTGAACAAACCTTCATACATAACAACAGACAGGTAAACACTGAACAAACCTTCATACATAACAACAGACAGGTAAACACTGAACAAACCTTCATACATAACAACAGACAGGTAAACACTGAACAAACCTTCATACATAACAACAGACAGGTAAACACTGAACAAACCTTCATACATAACAACAGACAGGTAAACACTGAACAAACCTTCATACATAACAACAGACAGGTAAACACTTAACAAACCTTCATACATAACAACAGACAGGTAAACACTGAACAAACCTTCATACATAACAACAGACAGGTAAACACTGAACAAACCTTCATACATAACAACAGACAGGTAAACACTGAACAAACCTTCATACATAACAACAGACAGGTAAACACTGAACAAACCTTCATACATAACAACAGACAGGTAAACACTGAACAAACCTTCATACATAACAACAGACAGGTAAACACTGAACAAACCTTCATACATAACAACAGACAGGTAAACACTGAACAAACCTTCATACATAACAACAGACAGGTAAACACTGAACAAACCTTCATACATAACAACAGACAGGTAAACACTGAACAAACCTTCATACATAACAACAGACAGGTAAACACTGAACAAACCTTCATACATAACAACAGACAGGTAAACACTGAACAAACCTTCATACATAACAACAGACAGGAAAACACAGAACAAACCTTCATACATAACAACAGACAGGTAAACACTGAACAAACCTTCATACATATCAGACAGGTAAACACTGAACAAACCTTCATACATAACAACAGACAGGTAAACACTGAACAAACCTTCATACATAACAACAGACAGGTAAACACTGAACAAACCTTCATACATAACAACAGACAGGTAAACACTGAACAAACCTTCATACATAACAACAGACAGGTAAACACTGAACAAACCTTCATACATAACAACAGACAGGTAAACACTGAACAAACCTTCATACATAACAACAGACAGGTAAACACTGAACAAACCTTCATACATAACAACAGACAGGTAAACACTGAACAAACCTTCATACATAACAACAGGTAAACACTGAACAAACCTTCATACATAACAACAGACAGGTAAACACTGAACAAACCTTCATACATAACAACAGACAGGTAAACACTGAACAAACCTTCATACATAACAACAGGTAAACACTGAACAAACCTTCATACATAACAATAGTCGGGTTTAGTATTTACCTCTCAACTTGAGAAAACTTTGTAACTTTATTTTTGGAATTCAGTGCCATTTTAGTTTCTGGTCCTGTATATATTGCACAACCTATGAAAATGAATGAAGAGTTAAGCTGCAATTGTAAACCTAAATCCTGTGGTTCATTAACAGGTTGTAAAGGATTAATCAGGATCAGTAAATTAACCAGAAAAAAGTAGAGAATTCAGCCTTTCAGGACAACTAGATTTCATTTTGTAAAAAAAACGGACTTTATTTGATTATAGACATTAAAATTAATTATTTTGTGAAATAACTGGAATATGTACTAATTAATGATAGATTTCCTGTAGAACCATATATTTGAAGTATGTCAGCAGTTAAAACAGAGGCTAAAATTATATCATGTCCTATAGTGATTTTTTTAGAATTCATTTTCACAAGCTTATTAGTGCCTGTATTTCCCCATGACTTCTAATGGAATGATAAAGGTTACAAACTTTATACTTTATGTATATAGGGAATGAGATTTGTGTATGTTACATAGATGTATATAGGGAATGAGATTTGTGTTTTTATGTTACATAAAGATATATAGGGAATGAGATTTGTGTATGTTACATAGAGATATATAGGGAATGAGATTTGTGTATGTTACATAGAGGTATATAGGGAATGAGATTTGTGTATGTTACATAGATGTATATATATAGGGAATGAGATTTGTGTATGTTACATAGAGGTATATATATAGGGAATGAGATTTGTGTATGTTACATAGAGGTATATATATATAGGGAATGAGATTTGTGTATGTTACATAGAGATATATAGGGAATGAGATTTGTGTATGTTACATAGAGGTATATATATAGGGAATGAGATTTGTGTATGTTACATAGAGGTATATATATAGGGAATGAGATTTGTGTATGTTACATAGAGGTATATATATAGGGAATGAGATTTGTGTATGTTACATAGAGGTATATATATAGATTTGTGTATGTTAATGTATATATATAGGGAATTTGTGTATGTTACATAGAGGTATATATATATATATATATAGGGAATGAGATTTGTGTATGTTACATAGAGATATATAGGGAATGAGATTTGTGTATGTTACATAGAGGTATATATATATATATATATAGGGAATGAGATTTGTGTATGTTACATAGATGTATATAGGGAATGAGATTTGTGTATGTTACATAGAGGTATATATATAGGGAATGAGATTTGTGTATGTTACATAGAGGTATATATATAGGGAATGAGATTTGTGTATGTTACATAGAGGTATATATATAGGGAATGAGATTTGTGTATGTTACATAGAGGTATATAGGGAATGAGATTTGTGTATGTTATAGAGGTATATATATAGGGAATATACATAGGGAATGAGATATATAGGTATATATATATAGGGAATGAGATATTGTGTATGTTACATAGAGTATATATATAGGGAATGAGATTTGTGTATGTTACATAGAGGTATATATATAGGGAATGAGATTTGTGTATGTTACATAGAGGTATATATATAGGGAATGAGATTTGTGTATGTTACATAGAGGTATATATATAGGGAATGAGATTTGTGTATGTTACATAGAGGTATATATATAGGGAATGAGATTTGTGTATGTTACATAGAGGTATATATATATATATATAGGGAATGAGATTTGTGTATGTTACATAGATATATAGAGGTATATATATAGGGAATGAGATTTGTGTATGTTACATAGAGTATATATATAGGGAATGAGATTTGTGTATATATATATAGGGAATGAGATTTGTGTATGTTACATAGAGATATATAGGGAATGAGATTTGTGTATGTTACATAGAGGTATATATATAGGGAATGAGATTTGTGTATGTTACATAGAGGTATATATATAGGGAATGAGATTTGTGTATGTTACATAGAGGTATATATATAGGGAATGAGATTTGTGTATGTTACATAGAGGTATATATATAGGGAATGAGATTTGTGTATGTTACATAGAGGTATATATATAGGGAATGAGATTTGTGTATGTTACATAGAGGTGTATATATATAGGGAATGAGATTTGTGTATGTTACATAGAGGTATATATATAGGGAATGAGATTTGTGTATGTTACATAGAGGTATATATATATAGGGAATGAGATTTGTGTATGTTACATAGAGATATATAGGGAATGAGATTTGTGTATGTTACATAGAGATATATAGGGAATGAGATTTGTGTATGTTACATAGAGGTATATATATAGGGAATGAGATTTGTGTATGTTACATAGAGGTATATATATAGGGAATGAGATTTGTGTATGTTACATAGAGGTATATATATAGGGAATGAGATTTGTGTATGTTACATAGAGGTATATATATAGGGAATGAGATTTGTGTATGTTACATAGAGGTATATATATAGGGAATGAGATTTGAGTATGTTACATAGAGGTATATATATAGGGAATGAGATTTGTGTATGTTACATAGAGGTATATATATAGGGAATGAGATTTGTGTATGTTACATAGAGGTATATATATAGGGAATGAGATTTGTGTATGTTACATAGAGGTATATATATAGGGAATGAGATTTGTGTATGTTACATAGAGGTATATAGGGAATGAGATTTGTGTATGTTACATAGAGGTATATATATAGGGAATGAGATTTGTGTATGTTACATAGAGGTATATATATAGGGAATGAGATTTGTGTATGTTACATAGAGGTATATATATATATAGGGAATGAGATTTGTGTATGTTACATAGAGTATATATATATATATATAGGGAATGAGATTTGTGTATGTTACATAGAGGTATATATATAGGGAATGAGATTTGTGTATGTTACATAGAGGTATATATATAGGGAATGAGATTTGTGTATGTTACATAGAGGTATATATATAGGGAATGAGATTTGTGTATGTTACATAGATATATATATATATATGTTACATAGAGGTATATATATATATATATAGGGAATGAGATTTGTGAGATATATATATAGGGAATGAGATTTGTGTATGTTACATAGAGGTATATATATAGGGAATGAGATTTGTGTATGTTACATAGAGGTATATATATAGGGAATGAGATTTGTGTATGTTACATAGAGGTATATATATAGGGAATGAGATTTGTGTATGTTACATAGATTTGTGTATGTTACATAGAGGTATATATATAGGGAATGAGATTTGTGTATGTTACATAGAGGTATATATATAGGGAATGAGATTTGTGTATGTTACATAGAGGTATATATATAGGGAATGAGATTTGTGTATGTTACATAGAGGTATATATATAGGGAATGAGATTTGTGTATGTTACATAGAGGTATATATATAGGGAATGAGATTTGTGTATGTTACATAGAGGTATATATATAGGGTATATATATGAGATTTGTGTATGTTACATAGATATATATATATATAGGGAATGAGATTTGTGTATGTTACATAGAGGTATATATATAGGGAATGAGATTTGTGTATGTTACATAGAGGTATATATATATAGGGAATGAGATTTGTGTATGTTACATAGAGGTATATATATAGGGAATGAGATTTGTGTATGTTACATAGAGTATATATATAGGGAATGAGATTTGTGTATGTTACATAGATATATATATATATGTTACATAGGAATGAGATGAGATTTGTGTATGTTACATAGAGGTATATATATAGGGAATGAGATTTGTGTATGTTACATAGAGGTATATATATAGGGAATGAGATTTGTGTATGTTACATAGAGGTATATATATATATAGGGAATGATATTTGTGTATGTTACATAGAGGTATATATATAGGGAATGAGATTTGTGTATGTTACATAGAGGTATATATATAGGGAATGAGATTTGTGTATGTTACATAGAGGTATATATATATAGGGAATGAGATTTGTGTATGTTACATAGAGGTATATATATAGGGAATGAGATTTGTGTATGTTACATAGAGGTATATATATAGGGAATGAGATTTGTGTATGTTACATAGAGGTATATATATAGGGAATGAGATTTGTGTATGTTACATAGAGGTATATATATAGGGAATGAGATTTGTGTATGTTACATAGAGGGAATATATATATAGGGAATGAGATTTGTGTATGTTACATAGAGGTATATATATAGGGAATGAGATTTGTGTATGTTACATAGAGGTATATATATAGGGAATGAGATTTGTGTATGTTACATAGAGGTATATATATATAGGGAATGAGATTTGTGTGTTACATAGAGGTATATATATAGGGAATGAGATTTGTGTATGTTACATAGGTATATATATATATATTTGTGAATGGTATATATATTTGTGTATGTTACATAGAGGTATATATATAGGGAATGAGATTTGTGTATGTTACATAGAGTTATATATATAGGGAATGAGATTTGTGTATGTTACATAGAGGTATATATATAGGGAATGAGATTTGTGTATGTTACATAGAGGTATATATATATAGGGAATGAGATTTGTGTATGTTACATAGAGGTATATATATATATATATATATAGAGGGGAATGAGATTTGTGTATGTTACATAGAGGTATATATATATATAGGGAATGAGTATATATATTTGTGTATGTTACATAGAGGTATATATATAGGGAATGAGATTTGTGTATGTTACATAGAGGTATATATATAGGGAATGAGATTTGTGTATGTTACATAGAGGTATATATATAGGGAATGAGATTTGTGTATGTTACATAGAGGTATATATATAGGGAATGAGATTTGTGTATGTTACATAGAGGTATATATATAGGGAATGAGATTTGTGTATGTTACATAGAGGTATATATATAGGGAATGAGATTTGTGTATGTTACATAGAGGTATATATATAGGGAATGAGATTTGTGTATGTTACATAGAGGTATATATATAGGGAATGAGATTTGTGTATGTTACATAGAGGTATATATATAGGGAATGAGATTTGTGTATGTTACATAGAGGTATATATATAGGGAATGAGATTTGTGTATGTTACATAGAGGTATATATATAGGGAATGAGATTTGTGTATGTTACATAGAGATATATAGGGAATGAGATTTGTGTATGTTACATAGAGGTATATATATAGGGAATGAGATTTGTGTATGTTACATAGAGGTATATAGGGAATGAGATTTGTGTATGTTACATAGAGGTATATATATAGGGAATGAGATTTGTGTAATATGGAGTTTTATAGTTGTATCAATACCTGTATGAGAAACATTTGAAATTTTATTGCTATATCTAGCCTGTAAAGATGGAAAGCTTGTGTAAGTCAGACTTATCGTAAAGTTTTACAACATCTGCGACTCTAATCAGCTTAAGTCCAATGTTCACCTGTTTATTATTTATCATAATAGATAAACAGGTACCATACCAACCTAGGATACATGTTAATACCCAGGCCTGACAATAAGCCCAGCAATAGCAATTGCTTTTTATTAGAAGAACAAATTAGTATGTTAATCAATAAGACTATGTTAGTTAATAAGCCCATCCATGTCTGTTGCTTTTTATTAGCATTATAAATAAATTTTGTCCATCATTAAGTCCATGTCTGGTAATAAGCCCATCCATGTCTGTTGCTTTTTATTAGAATTATAAATAAATTTTGTCCATCATTAAGTCCATGTCTGGTAATAAGCCCATCCATGTCTGTTGCTTTTTATTAGAATTATAAATAAATTTTGTCCATCATTAAGTCCATGTCTGGTAATAAGCCCACCCATGTCTGTTGCTGCTCACTTATTGTTGTTCACTATTTCATTGTCCTGTAATAAGACCATCCCCTGGGTTATATAAAATGTTCCCCCCACTCCTCTTCTATGCCTAGGCATGCATACAATTAAAAAAATTCCAAGCTTGGCAAAACAGAAATTGAAACTATCTTAAGCAAAGGAAATAAAATCCTGACAAACCTATGAATCAATTACTAAATATCGTTAAATGTTTGTAGGAATTTTCTTCTGTAATTTCAATTACTAGTAAGGTAAAAAAAAGTGTCTTTGGGTAACATTATCATACATGTAATTCTTTCCACTGAAAAGTCATTTCATCTTGTAATTTGTCTTAAACGATGAACACAAAGACATTTTTCACACAAAGAACATTTCCCATTATACAGTGTTGGCTAGTAATGTTTGATTGCAGCCATTTGTACCTTGAGGTTCGTCTCGCCGTCCAGATTGGCTGTAGTGATGTAACATTGACCCTCTTCATCACACGACGATAACATAACCAGATCACATGGGAACTCCTGATTTTTTTCTACCATCACAATATCACCGACCTTTAATGTGAAACAAGACATGATTAAACGGATATACACATAAAACATCTAAAATGGTGGTGCTGTAAAAACAAACTTGACTTTTAAGTTAGGTACCCAGTAGAATAAAAGTTCTTATAACACAGAAGATTTGATAAAGTGTGATGTTTCAATGATTACACGGCCACCTTCATCAGACAAATGACCAGTGTGGAGTGTACTAGTCACGGCCACCTTCATCAGACAAATGACCAGTGTGGAGTGTACTAGCACTGACATACATAGTGTACGAGATCTACACGGCCACCTTCATCAGACAAATGACCAGTGTGGAGTGTACTAGCACTGACATACATAGCGTACAAAATGGTAAGTACACTTCACACTAATAATCTGTCTGATGAACTAGAGTTTATAATCACTGAAACACTGAATTAAATCTTCGACTGATTGTTTCTTCAGAACTTCTATTCTATTGACATTACCAACCTGTGATTTGCATTGTTGATATGACTGAATTGTTGATGTGATGTCAGAGAATTATAAGTGTAACATCATGTTGTTGTTGTGACAGGGGAATCCCCTAGGGTGAGGCAAGGACAGGGGAACTCCTAGGGTGAGACAGGGACAGGGGAATCCCTAGGGTGAGACAAGGACAGGGGACCCCCTAGGGTGAGACAAGGACAGGGGAATCCCCTAGGGTGAGACAAGCACAGGGGAACCCCTAGGGTGAGACAAGGACAGGGGAATCCCTAGGGTGAGACAAGAAAAGGGGGAATCCCCTAAGGTGAGACAAGGACAGGGAATCCACTGGGGTGAGACAAGGACTAAGGAACCCCTAGGGTAAGACAAGGAAAGGGGAATCCCCTAGGGTGAGACAAGGACAGTGAATCCACTAGGGTGAGACAAGGACTAAGGAACCCCTAGGGTAAGACAAGGAAAGGGGAATCCCCTAGGGTGAGACAAGGAAAGGGGGATCCCCTAGGGTGAGACAAGGATAGGGAATCCCCTAGGGTGACACAAGGACAGGGGAATCCCGTAGGGTGAGACAAGGACGGGAATCCCCTACGGTGAGACAAGGACAGGGGAATCCCCTAGGGTGACACAAGGACAGGGGAATCCCCTAGGGTGGGACAAGGCAGGAATCCCCTAGGGTGAGACAAGGAAAGGGTAATCCCGTAGGGTGAGACAAGGAAATCACATATTCGTAAAAAGGTCAAGGGAAAGAGAAAACTGATTATCTGATCAAACCTTAAAAAGAGTGGGTCCCTATCACCTACCCTATTTTACTGTCGGTTTCCTTCCACTAGACAAATCACCTGCTTTGATCAAGGTATAAACAAGAGTTTTACTATAAGCTACAAGCTTATTCTTCATATGTTGTAAATTAAAGATAGTTAAGATTTATACATAAATCAAATTTAACATGATTTAAAAGGTCACTCAACATTTGTGGCAGGTCATCATTTTTTTCCAAATTCTATGTTAGGAATTGAACCCTGGACCTCTGCATCACTTTAACTGATGTTAGCACTGAACTGATGAGAATTTTCTATAGCCGAGTTGATAGGAAGCAGCTAGTATTATACCAAGGTTACATACACATATCATTTATTGTAGAAACTAACAACATAAAAGTTCAAAATAAAATCCAATAAAATGGCTATAGATATCAGACATGGACCCATTATTGTATATCATATTAATTCACAAATTGACAAACAGTTGGTGATAGGATTATTAAAGATTGTTATGAATTTCTGAAAAAAAACTCATTAGATATGGTGGCACATTTACATCTTACGATTTCAGCTATTAATATAGTTGACTTTTAGGAGAATATACCCTTGTTGCTTTACTTATTAAATGTGAGGTAATATCTTTGTTCCTTCCTGCCTATTTAAATAGATCTCAATTACAGGAGTAAGGTATCTCATTATTTTGATGGTACAACTGTGTGACAGTAACCTAGCAATCCTATATTGACTTATAGTTATATACCCATGCATAACACTGATACCAACAGACAAACCAGGTTATCTTAAATAAACATGAACAGACAGATGCTACCTCATCAACTGTCTATGTCTATACATGTTCCATTAGACAGCAGATACATGATACTACATATATCAGTAGTTCTCATTATGTCTGAGGGTAAAAAACACCTTAATTTTCCAGTACTTTTCTATAGAAAAATATTATAAGTGGTCCATTGTACTGACAATTTCAAAATATCAAGGGAAACAGGGATATAGTTTTTCTTCTATCAAATTTTAAAGAAATGTGAACTAGATACCTGATAAGTTAAGTAGTGTAACAAAATACACACTTTAGAATAAATCTGTATTTTAATTAAAGTTACCAGCAGGGTAATAAAAATTCTATATCCTACTAAAAAAAACTATTCTAAATACAGGTTATGCAGTAACATTCTCTCTACCTGGATTTTCCGAAGTATCCTTGGAATTCGAAGGTTTATACTATTGGAAAAGCATGGAAACCCTTAGTGTTCCTTTCAATCTTTTATTTAACACCACAAAGATCTCTAATCTGTGTTAAAAAAAATTCTAAATTTGATATACACATACATACATTATTCCCTTTTTATTCGTGTTTAATCTATACTTCAGTTGTTCTGATTAAATAAAGATACAAAATAAACAATGGTCAGTAATTTACTTTATCATCTTCACTCTGAATCAAATCAGGGACCTCTGGCTTACTAGTGCTCAAATGATTGAGCTGATGAAGACCCCTCTCTAGCCGAGCAATGTTTCGTGTGAAGGATTCTACCAGAGTTACATATATTTCCTAGATTTAACACCTAGGCAGTTGCTATGTTGTAACACAAATGATCCTCCCTTTATTTCCTCAATGTTTTCACAGCATCCTCAAAGCTTCATTACACAGCTATGCATTGTCAGTCTGAATATTTGAAAGCAGTTGAAGTTTGATTCATTTCTGAGGTTGGAACTCTTTTGGAAAAGGAGTTATAATTTTGAAATAAGACAAACACATACTTATTTCTTTTCTGAAGTTATTTTTTTATATTTCTGAATGTTGACTTATAAAGGAGAGTCCTATATTAAAACTACATTACAAATCCTACACTGATTTCCTGTCCTAATTCACCAGGAAATCAACAGGAATATGTAAATTTCCCTGCTGTAATTTCCTTATACATGTATAGAACTGGTTCTGTTTTATTTCCCGACTTCCTCCATAATATAATGTTATCAGACCGGTCAATATCACACTACAATGTTGTTCTAGAAAACCACTCCATATATCTGATCACTACTCCATTATTCATCATTGCATTAGCTTGTTTAAAAATAAATTTCTCTGTAAAACTGTCAATAAATGTTCACTGTACACGGCATTGTGGGAGACTATTTTACTACAATAAACGTTCACCGTACACGGCATTGTGGGAGACTATTTTACTACAATAAACGTTCACCGTACACGGCATTGTGGGAGACTATTTTACTACAATAAACGTTCACCGTACACGGCATTGTGGGAGACTATTTTACTACAGTAAACGTTCACCGTACATGGCATTGTGGGAGACTATTTTACTACAGTAAACGTTCACCATACACGGCATTGTGGGAGACTATTTTACTACAGTAAATGTTTACCGTGCACAGCATTGTGGGAGACTATTTTACTACAGTAAACGTTCACCATACATGGCATTGTGGGAGACTATTTTACTACAGTAAATGTTTACCGTGCACAGCATTGTGGGAGACTATTTTACTACAATAAACAAAAAGTTTTTTCTTGACACACAGATTTCTCAATTTGTTGTCAAAACAAAGATTTCTCATTTATTTTTCATTTCTTTGCCAAAGAGTAACAAGAATGATTTATAGTAGTTTTAAGAATCAAAGTACTGAAAGTACTCAAATGTGATGACCTTGTTGCTGGTAAATGCATATTTACACATGTATACTATATGAAGCAGCACTTGAAACATAACTCCAGTGAACGGGAATATATATCCTCTGTTTTAACCGAAATTTAAAACATTCCCAACATCTAAGTGCTTATAATGTCAATCTCATGGGAGAATTGTTAATTGTTTAAGTGACTTCCATTCTGTCAAAGGCATTTACATCAGCTATCCAGATTTATAAAACAGCTAGAACTACAGTTTGTGACAAACCTTGATTTTTTTGGATCTGATCTCCATGATTTCACCATCTCTGATGACTTGAGTCGTCCTGTTGTTGACTTCATTGTCTGCTCTGTGTCGAAGATAGTCTTCATACCCCTGAAACACCAACAAATCAACACCATCAGATACACAGCTCTGATTATTGTTCTGCTAGTCCTTAGCATCTAACTGCTGCTACCTCAGGGGAACATTCAAGGTGTGTGACTTGCTCCCTACCCAAGACAAATCTATGCCTCTGATTTGATCCCTACCCAAGACAGATCTATACCTCTGATTTGATCCCTACCCAAGACAAATCTATGCCTCTGATTTGATCCCTACCCAAGACAGATCTATACCTCTGATTTGATCCCTACCCAAGACAGATCTATACCTCTGATTTGATCCCTACCCAAGACAGATCTATACCTCTGACTTGCTCCCTACCCAAGACAGATCTATACCTCTGACTTGCTCCCTACCCAAGACAGATCTATACCTCTGATTTGATCCCTACCCAAGACAGATCTATACCTCTGATTTGATCCCTACCCAAGACAGATCTATACCTCTGACTTGCTCCCTACCCAAGACAGATCTATACCTCTGACTTGCTCCCTACCCAAGACAGATCTATACCTCTGACTTGCTCCCTACCCAAGACAGATCTATACCTCTGACTTGCTCCCTACCCAAGACAGATCTATACCTCTGACTTGCTCCCTACCCAAGACAGATCTATACCTCTGACTTGCTCCCTACCCAAGACAGATCTATACCTCTGACTTGCTCCCTACCCAAGACAGATCTATACCTCTGACTTGCTCCCTACCCAAGACAGATCTATACCTCTGACTTGCTCCCTACCCAAGACAGATCTATACCTCTGATTCGATCCCTACCCAGGACAGATCTTTGTCTCTTGGGTGAAGATCCAAGGTGTGTGACAATTCTCACCTGTTTTATAGCTGTTACTGAGACAACAAACACTACAGGGTTGTGTACAGGTGATGGGGGTGAGTCAACATCAGACAATTCTCACCTGTTTTATAGCTGTTACTGAGACAACAAACACTACAGGGTTGTGTACAGGTGATGGGGGTGAGTCAACATCAGACAATTCTCACCTGTTTTATAGCTGTTACTGAGACAACAAACACTACAGGGTTGTGTACAGGTGATGGGGGTGAGTCAACATCAGACAATTCTCACCTGTTTTATAGCTGTTACTGAGACAACAAACACTACAGGGTTGTGTACAGGTGATGGGGGTGAGTCAACATCAGACAATTCTCACCTGTTTTATAGCTGTTACTGAGACAACAAACACTACAGGGTTGTGTACAGGTGATGGGGGTGAGTCAACATCAGACAATTCTCACCTGTTTTATAGCTGTTACTGAGACAACAAACACTACAGGCTTGTGTACAGGTGATGGGGGTGAGTCAACATCAGACAATTCTCACCTGTTTTATAGCTGTTACTGAGACAACAAACACTACAGGGTTGTGTACAGGTGATGGGGGTGAGTCAACATCAGACAATTCTCACCTGTTTTATAGCTGTTACTGAGACAACAAACACTACAGGCTTGTGTACAGGTGATGGGGGTGAGTCAACATCAGACAATTCTCACCTGTTTTATAGCTGTTACTGAGACAACAAACACTACAGGGTTGTGTACAGGTGATGGGGGTGAGTCAACATCAGACAATTCTCACCTGTTTTATAGCTGTTACTGAGACAACAAACACTACAGGGTTGTGTACAGGTGATGGGGGTGAGTCAACATCAGACAATTCTCACCTGTTTTATAGCTGTTACTGAGACAACAAACACTACAGGGTTCTGTACAGGTGATGGGGGTGAGTCAACATCAGACAATTCTCACCTGTTTTATAGCTGTTACTGAGACAACAAACACTACAGGGTTGTGTACAGGTGATGGGGGTGAGTCAACATCAGACAATTCTCACCTGTTTTATAGCTGTTACCGAGACAACAAACACTAGAGGAGCTATGCTTTTGATGGGGGTGAGTCAACATCAGACAATTCTCACCTGTTTTATAGCTGTTACTGAGACAACAAACACTAGAGGAGCTATGCTTGTGATGGGGGTGACTGGAGTATCAATGATCAACTGAAATAAAAACAAAAAAGTAAAAAATACTTTGACCAGAAAAGTTAAATAAGGCACAAGTCATCTATAAGTTGAGTTACTTAATTATATTGTAAATGGCAAAATTCCTCAGATATTTGCTTTATTTACACATTCCACGAGATATATCTTATCATGTCAAAAAGGTACATCAAAACAAGAAATTCCTATTCCTTGCACACATTCAGTATATATAGTTACGTAAAATGAGTGACACATTTTTATACAGGTGACAGAACAGGATGAAAAATTAATATCTTGTAAACACAAATCAGATGTTCATAAATGTATGGAGTTTATCGATTGGAGCAGATAAAACAAATGTAGCAGGTCAAAATATGTACTGGTTTTTCTTCCTTTTTTATTCTTATCATTAAAGTATCTATGTTTTCTGACATACCTGTACTATTCCTACACATAAGAAGTAGAAGTTAGCTATCCTCCTGAACTGTTCGAACAAATTCTTTGGTAGGAAGTTAAGTAATGTATACTGAAATAAAAAAAAAATATATCAAGATCTATAAATTACATTGTTTATCAATTAAAGATCTAAAAATAGAAAAATGTCTTAACTGATACTTCACTAGAAACAGCTAAATATTTATATATATACATTTAAAAACATTTTTTTAAAAATATAAAAGTTCAATACCTCATGCAGGGATTATGTGAAAACCTTTGACCTCTGACCTAGTTTAGTCTCATGATCTACTGATCAAGCTAAAGAGAATCAAAGTTCTCTCTAATTAAAGAGCAGTATCATTAAAAAAGGTTATGATATACTGAGAAATATTAAATTTTCGGGGAGTTAATATTTTTGTTATTTCTGGTGCATTCACTGAATCAACCAAATTCTATTCCATAAACTGTAAAGAATTTGTATAAGCAGCTTTATTGAGCTAAATCTTCACGCACGAAATCAAGTGTCCAGGAAAATGTCGATGTTTTATTATCAACCACTAAAATAAAGTGACATGAAAATAATAGATTTTACAGTAATTGTGATATAATGCTGACTGAAACTCTAATATAATGCTGACTGAAACTCTAAAATCTAATTTTAATAAATCTGGATTTTTTCATTCAGCAAAGATGTTAAGTTCTGTTTTGTTTTTGCTAATTAACAAGATTGATATAACAATGCTTATCTACAGACCAGACAAACAAAATGTATTGACCTTCAGCAGGGCTATACTACATGTACCTGGTGAGCTGATTAACCTATACGATATCTCCTTTGACATTTATCAATGAAATATTAATGTGCTTCCATCCCTGTGAATCAGCCCACATTTATTACACTAATCAATAACACCTGTCTAACGTCATCTGTAGAGAACTTATGTAACATCTGTCCCACGTCATCTGTAGAGAACTTATGTAACATCTGTCCCACGTCATCTGTAGAGAACTTATGTAACATCTGTCCCACGTCATCTGTAGAGAACTTATGTAACATCTGTCCCACATCATCTGTAGAGAACTTATGTAACATCTGTCCCACGTCATCTGTAGAGAACTTATGTAACCCCTGTCTCATGTTATCTGTAGAGAACTTGTGTAACCCCTGTCTCATGTTATCTGTAGAGAGCTATGTAACAACTGTCCCACATCATCTGTAGAGAACTTATGTAATATCTGTCCCACGTCATCTGTAGAGAACTTATGTAACGCCTGTCCCATGTCATCTGTAGAGAACTTATGTAACGCCTGTCCCATGTCATCTGTAGAGAACTTACTTAATGCCTGTCCCACGTCATCTGTAGAGAGCTATGTAACATCTGTCCCACGTCATCTGTAGAGAACTTATGTAACGCCTGTCCCATGTCATCTGTAGAGAACTTACGTAACGCCTGTCCCACGTCATCTGTAGAGAGCTATGTAACAACTGTCCCACATCATCTGTAGAGAACTTATGTAAAATCTGTCCCACGTCATCTGTAGAGAACTTACTTAATGCCTGTCCCATGTCATCTGTAGAGAGCTATGTAATGCCTGTCACATGTCATCTGTAGAAAACTTATGTAACGCCTGCCCCATGTCATCTGTAGAGAAATTAAGTAACAACTGTCCCACGTCATCTGTAGAGAGCTTATCTCACACCTGTCCCACGTCATCTGTAGAGAACTTATGTAACATCTGTCCCACATCATCTGTAGAGAACTTATGTAACACCTGTCCCACATCATCTGTAGAGAACTTATGTAACACCTGTCCCACATCATCTTATGTAACGCCTGTCCCACGTCATCTGTAGAGAGCTTATCTAACACCTGTCCCACGTCATCTGTAGAAAGCTATGTAATGCCTGTCCAACATCATCTGTAGAGAACTTATGTAACATCTGTCCAACATCATCTGTAGAGAGCTTATGTAACGCCTGTCCCACGTCATCTGTAGAGAACTTACGTAACACCTGTCCCACGTCATCTGTAGAGAACTTATGTAACACCTGTCCCACATCATCTGTAGAGAACTTATGTAACACCTGTCCCACGTCATCTGTAGAGAGCTATGTAATGCCTGTCCCACATCATCTGTAGAGAACTTATGTAACACCTGTCCCACGTCATCTGTAGAGAGCTATGTAATGCCTGTCCAACATCATCTGTAGAGAGCTTATGTAACGCCTGTCACACGTCATCTGTAGAGAACTTACGTAACACCTGTCCCACGTCATCTGTAGAGAGCTATGTAATGCCTGTCTCACATCATCTGTAGAGAACTTATGTAACACCTGTCCCACGTCATCTGTAGAGAGCTATGTAATGCCTGTCACACGTCATCTGTAGAAAACTTATGTAACGCCTGTCCCACATCATCTGTAGAGAACTTACGTAACACCTGTCCCACGTCATCTGTAGAGAGCTATGTAATGCCTGTCCCACATCATCTGTAGAGAACTTACGTAACACCTGTCCCACGTCATCTGTAGAGAGCTATGTAATGCCTGTCACACGTCATCTGTAGAAAACTTATGTAACGCCTGTCCCATGTCATCTGTAGAGAAATTAAGTAACAACTGTCCCACGTCATCTGTAGAGAGCTTATCTAACACCTGTCCCACGTCATCTGTAGAGAAATTAAGTAACAACTGTCCCACGTCATCTGTAGAGAGCTAATCGAACAACTGTCCCACGTCATCTGAAGAGAGCTATGTAATGCCTGTCTCACATCATCTGTAGAGAACTTATGTAACACCTGTCCCACGTCATCTGTAGAGAGCTATGTAATGCCTGTCACACGTCATCTGTAGAAAACTTATGTAACGCCTGTCCCACATCATCTGTAGAGAACTTACGTAACACCTGTCCCACGTCATCTGTAGAGAGCTATGTAATGCCTGTCCCACATCATCTGTAGAGAACTTACGTAACACCTGTCCCACGTCATCTGTAGAGAGCTATGTAATGCCTGTCACACATCATCTGTAGAAAACTTATGTAACGCCTGTCCCATGTCATCTGTAGAGAAATTAAGTAACAACTGTCCCACGTCATCTGTAGAGAGCTTATCTAACACCTGTCCCACGTCATCTGTAGAGAAATTAAGTAACAACTGTCCCACGTCATCTGTAGAGAGCTAATCGAACAACTGTCCCACGTCATCTGAAGAGAAATTAAATAACAACTGTCCCACATCATCTGTAGAGAGCTTATCTAACACCTGTCCCACGTCATCTGTAGAGAAATTAAGTAACAACTGTCCCACGTCATCTGTAGAGAGCTAATCGAACAACTGTCCCACGTCATCTGAAGAGAAATTAAATAACAACTGTCCCACATCATCTGTAGAGAGCTTATCTAACAACTGTCCCACGTCATCTGAAGAGAAATTAAATAACAACTGTCCCACATCATCTGTAGAGAGCTTATCTAACACCTGTCCCACGTCATCTGTAGAGAGCTTATCTAACACCTGTCCCACGTCATCTGTAGAGAGCTTATCTAACACCTGTCCCACGTCGTCTGTAGAGAGCTTATCTAACACCTGTCCCACATCATCTGTAGAGAACTTATCTAACACCTGTCCCACATCATCTGTAGAGAGCTTATCTAACACCTGTCCCACATCATCTGTAGAGAGCTTATCTAACACCTGTCCCACGTCGTCTGTAGAGAGCTTATCTAACACCTGTCCCACATCATCTGTAGAGAGCTTATCTAACACCTGTCCCACGTCGTCTGTAGAGAGCTTATCTAACACCTGTCCCACATCATCTGTAGAGAAATTAAGTAACAACTGTCCCACGTCATCTGTAGAGAGCTTATCTAACACCTGTCCCATGCCGTCTATAGAGAACTTATCTAACACCTGTCCCACGTCGTCTGTAGAGAGCTTATCTAACACCTGTCCCACGCCGTCTGTAGAGAACTTATCTAACACCTGTCCCACGTCGTCTGTAGAGAGTTTATCTAACACCTGTCCCACGTCATCTGTAGAGAGTTCATGTAGTAACTCATCAGTTCCATGACGTCCCATGATGTTCCATCAATGGGTAATTAAACTGGTCTAGTGTAAACCATTACACTGTGAAAACTTCACATTTAAACTATTAATCTATGAAATCTTTATAATATTAAATGAGTTCTACAGTTACTATAAGTCAATTACTACATTTATATAACTACAGTTAATTACTAAATTTATATAACTACAGTTAATTACTACATTTATATAGATTTATATAACTACAGTTAATTACTAAATTTATATAACTACAGTTAATTACTACATTTATATAAATCTATATAACTACAGTTAATTACTACATTTATATAACTACAGTTAATTACTACATTTATATAAATCTATATAACTACAGTTAATTACTACATTTATATAACTACAGTTAATTACTACATTTATATAACTACAGTTAATTACTACATTTATATAACTACAGTTAATTACTACATTTATATAACTACAGTTAATTACTACATTTATATAACTACAGTTAATTACTACATTTATATAACTACAGTTAATTACTACATTTATATAACTACAGTTAATTACTACATTTATATAAATCTATATAACTACAGTTAATTACTACATTTATATAACTACAGTTAATTACTACATTTATATAGATTTATATAACTACAGTTAATTACTACATTTATATAACTACAGTTAATTACTACATTTATATAACTACAGTTAATTACTACATTTATATAACTACAGTTAATTACTACATTTATATAACTACAGTTAATTACTACATTTATATAAATCTATATAACTACAGTTAATTACTACATTTATATAACTACAGTTAATTACTACATTTATATAAATCTATATAACTACAGTTAATTACTACATTTATATAACTACAGTTAATTACTACATTTATATAAATTTATATAACTACAGTTAATTACTACATTTATATAACTACAGTTAATTACTACATTTATATAACTACAGTTAATTACTACATTTATATAACTACAGTTAATTACTACATTTATATAACTACAGTTAATTACTACATTTATATAAATCTATATAACTACAGTTAATTACTACATTTATATAACTACAGTTAATTACTACATTTATATAACTACAGTTAATTACTACATTTATATAACTACAGTTAATTACTACATTTATATAAATCTATATAACTACAGTTAATTACTACATTTATATAACTACAGTTAATTACTACATTTATATAGATTTATATAACTACAGTTAATTACTACATTTATATAACTACAGTTAATTACTACATTTATATAACTACAGTTAATTACTACATTTATATAACTACAGTTAATTACTACATTTATATAACTACAGTTAATTACTACATTTATATAAATCTATATAACTACAGTTAATTACTACATTTATATAACTACAGTTAATTACTACATTTATATAAATCTATATAACTACAGTTAATTACTACATTTATATAACTACAGTTAATTACTACATTTATATAACTACAGTTAATTACTACATTTATATAACTACAGTTAATTACTACATTTATATAAATCTATATAACTACAGTTAATTACTACATTTATATAACTACAGTTAATTACTACATTTATATAACTACAGTTAATTACTACATTTATATAACTACAGTTAATTACTACATTTATATAACTACAGTTAATTACTACATTTATATAAATCTATATAACTACAGTTAATTACTACATTTATATAACTACAGTTAATAACTACATTTATATAAATCTATATAACTACAGTTAATTACTACATTTATATAACTACAGTTAATTACTACATTTATATAAATTTATATAACTACAGTTAATTACTACATTTATATAACTACAGTTAATTACTACATTGATATAACTACAGTTAATTACTACATTTATATAACTACAGTTAATTACTACATTTATATAACTACAGTTAATTACTACATTTATATAACTACAGTTAATTACTACATTTATATAACTACAGTTAATTACTAAATCTAATAAATATTGGAAGCTAAAGTCAACACGTATGATGGCTCAGATGAAATGACATGTACACTTCTGAGGAAGTAGTTGATATGACTGGCAATAGATAAGGAGAATGAGGACTGAAAGTCAGTGGTATATAAGTAGGAGCATGTCTATAGTGAATAAGCTTACCTTAGAGGATATCACCCTGTTGTTGGGAAACCTCTGTGTATGGAGCACAGCAACATCCTCGCCAGGTAATGGTTTGTTACCCACATATACCTTTCGGTCTGATAGAGTAGGCTTCCTCACACATCCCTGTCACAGAAACATCATACTCACAATTAAGAAACACCAGTAATAAGAAATACTGTTGATAATCTCAAGGTCCTGATTGTTCAAAGGTTAAAGATGTAGGTGTTAGGTGTTAAACTGCTGTTTGTGAAAAATAAAACTCTCAAAGCAAAATTAATATTCAAAATATACAAATCCGACCTGTCACAACAAATCTACAGCTGTGAAATGATGAAAGGTTATCAAAAGATTATCCCATCAAAAACACCAGTCACAAAAAACATCATAATCACAGGAAACATTGATTATAGACATAAAAAACACCAGTCACAATATACATGAAAGCCACAGAAAAAAATCAATCACAGTCACCAGAAAGATTGTAGTCACAGGAAACAGAAAGGTCACTAGAAAGATTGTAGTCACAGGAAACAGCAAGGTCACTAGAAACATTGTAGTCACAGGAAACAGCAAGGTCACTAGAAACATTGTAGTCACAGGAAACAGAAAGGTCACTAGAAACATTGTAGTCACAGGAAACAGCAAGGTCACTAGAAACATTGTAGTCACAGGAAACAGAAAGGTCACTAGAAAGATTGTAGTCACAGGAAACAGCAAGGTCACTAGAAACATTGTAGTCACAGGAAACAGAAAGGTCACTAGAAACATTGTAGTCACATGAAACAGCAAGGTCACTAGAAACATTGTAGTCACAGGAAACAGAAAGGTCACTAGAAACATTGTAGTCACAGGAAACAGAAAGGTCACTAGAAACATTGTAGTCACAGGAAACAGCAAGGTCACTAGAAACATTGTAGTCACAGGAAACAGCAATGTCACTAGAAAGATTGTAGTCACAGGAAACAGCAATGTCACTAGAAAGATTGTAGTCACAGGAAACAGCAAGGTCACTAGAAAGATTGTAGTCACAGGAAACAGCAAGGTCACTAGAAAGATTGTAGTCACAGGAAACAGCAAGGTCACTAGAAACATTGTAGTCACAGGAAACAGCAATGTCACTAGAAAGATTGTAGTCACAGGAAACAGCAAGGTCACTAGAAAGATTGTAGTCACAGGAAACAGCAAGGTCACTAGAAAGATTGTAGTCACAGGAAACAGCAAGGTCACTAGAAAGATTGTAGTCACAGGAAACAGCAATGTCACTAGAAAGATTGTAGTCACAGGAAACATATCAATCACAGAAACAATAGTCATCCAAAACCATCATATACACAAAAGGTATTAAAATCGCATTAGATCACCAGAAATATCAATGTCACAGAAAATATCAGTGTTACATGAAAAAAGTCAGTAGAATGATCTATGGAATTACGTGAAATCTGAACCATTGCAAAAGAGTCACAAAGTTCATATAAGGGATTACATTAAAGTATTGACAGTTATATAACTATAACTGACATCACATCAACACTCAAGTTTTGTAAACAACTATAATACAAAGCTGTTGTAAACAACACATCATCAAAGAAATATAATATTATATACAGATACAGTAATGTAACCATGGTTACCATTGCTGCAGTTTGGTAATCCATTCAAACCAGCGAGGTATACACATAAGGAAAGCATATTTCTCTTTACTAATCAGCCACTGTAAACTCAGTCCTATTTATTGCTGTAAACAGACTTTCCTATGTATCCTGCTATTGTTTCAGTGAAAATTTCATCGACAAATGCTTTTAACTTGACACTGAAGTCGTGGCTTGACAGTCAGCAGAGAATATTTTGTGAATTCAAGCCCTCTGGGTTAAATTGTTAGAAAAATACAATGGGAAATTAAATAGATTCAAATTGAATGTACTAGAAGTAAAAACGTCACAAAACAATGTGCCCACTTCTGTGTGGAGTACATCCCTGTCCCATCAACTTTCACTTCTCATTTATACTATATTAATTAGGGCCTCATTACAGTACACTGTAAGTAAACCTCTTATTTTCTGTACTTAACTCATCATTAAATCCTGAGCTGAATGGGCCTTGTCTGAGTACTTAGTCTGTTTAAATCTTGTTATCTTAAAAAACAAATGTGACAAGTCCTGATACAAGATGGATTTTGGGTTTAATGTTAAGTGGAATAGATTAAAAAAAAATACAATACACAGACAGGAATAGAGCAATTATAAGGATTAGAACTTGCATATATAAAGTATATAGGATAACACAAGTACAGTATATCTTTGTTGTAATACTACCCCAGGAGAATGAACACAAAAGATTAGAATAAATAAATATTAATACATTCTTTTCAAAGTTTCTTTGATGTAAATGTTTAATTGTATGAGGTATGTATCTATATGTTGTCTGATATGTTAATATATGTAACAGAGGTATGTATCTATATGTTGTCTGATATGTTAATTTATGTAACTGAGGTATGTATCTATATGTTGTCAGATATGTTAATTTATGTAACAGAAGTATGTATCTATATGTTGTCACATATGTTAATTTATGTAACTGAGGTATGTATCTATATGTTGTCTGATATGTTAATTAATGTATCAGAGATATTATACATATGTTGTCAGATATGTTAGTTTATGTAACAGAGGTATTTATCTATATGTTGTCAGATATGTTAATTTATGTAACAGAAGTATGTATCTATATGTTGTCTGATATGTTAATTAATGTATCAGAGATATTATACATATGTTGTCAGATATGTATCTATATGTTGTCACATATGTTAATTTATGTAACAGAGGTATGTATCTATATGTTGTCACAAATGTTAATTTATGTAACAGAGGTATGTATCTATATGTTGTCACATATGTTAATTTATGTAACAGAGGTATGTATCTATATGTTGTCACATATGTTAATTTATGTAACAGAGGTATGTATCTATATGTTGTCACATATGTTAATTTATGTAACAGAGGTATTTATCTATATGTTGTCAGATATGTTAATTTATGTAACAGAAGTATGTACACATATGTTGTCAGATATGTTAATTTATGTAACAGAAGTATTACACATATGTTGTCATACGTCAAATTAATTTTTTTACATCTGTCTGTTGCTACCTGTGTTGCTTGAATGAAACGTACAGATAACATGGAGTATGAATTTGCACATACAAATCTCAGACCATCACACCACCTATTGGCGTAACGTAACCTAGAGAATATAATTTCAACCTTATTCCAATTGGAAAAATGGCTGGAAATAACCTGTAAATTAATGAAGGGTTTGAACTCGAAACTTTGCAACGGTTTGAGATTATCATAAAAAATTAAACATGGTAAACATACAGACATATGTTGTCGACTTAATTATACTTGGGGCAGTACTTCAGTAAACACATTCGTCATATCAGTGCTACTAGACATTTGTCTTGTACCTCTGATGACTGAGGATGCTTGTTAAGAAGGTAAGCAATCTGACTGGACAATGTTTTTGTTGATCCTGTCAGAATTGATGAAACAATCAACAGCTGTTCATATCCAGGTAGCAAAAAAATTTTTTTGTAATTTTTTTTTAAAAAATATCACTTCATATAGAAAATATGTCAAGATTCATTTCAGTGTTTCTTCACTGGTAGGGAATGAGGCATGCTCGCATTATTTCAGAAAGAAAATTTGTGAATTTTTAAGGAAGTTTTCAGGAGTAAGTTGCAAAGACCAGGAATTTGGCTTAAATATGAAATAATTTCAACTGAGAATAGGTCCCATTTCCTTGGCCCCACAAGCCCTCGAGACAACACTGGATATGAATATTGGAAGGCAGTAGAACTGTATATTCCTAAAGATGCAGCTCAGATTCCTGGTTTTTCCTTAGTTTGGTAAAATACTCTAGCTTTTTGGAGGAAACTATATTCAGCTGTAAAAGAAGGCGAACATTTCTGTTGTCTAATATGTCATTAATTGATTTAAAATATCTACATTTAAATGCAGATTACCAGTAGGTAAAGTATCAAATTTATGTATAATTACATGCTCTTATAGCTGGAGGGCACTTCCATGTTAACTGACAACAGTTGAAAGCAAAGGCACATAATTTTAGGGTAGTGTGGAGAAACCATTGAACTAGTTTCAGTAAAGTTTCCTTAACTTCAGGAAGTTCTGTAATGTAATTGATTAGTTTCATATATAAAAAACAATGAATATTATTGACAAAATTGAAGTCTAAATTAAGTTTAGTTATAAGAAGCCAGGGCCTGGGTCAATGTTGTCTGTAATGTTGAAAATTTGAAGGAAAAAAAACAGATTACAGGGAAACTTATTTGTAAAAGACATCAGAGTCATCTTCATCTTTAATTGGAAAAATCTTCTCTTTAGATCTATGGTAGAGCACATGACTAGTTCTTCAAAGGCTGTGTGGCCGTAAGTTGGATTCCCAACAAAGGAAATACTTAATACTTTTCACTATCTGTATACTTGTAATTCTGCTCTCTCTCTTCTGCATGTTAGTGAACAGTCATTTACGATTTTAATCTGATATCACAATTAGTAGTTACATCCACAAGCTAACATCTTCATGTCAAATCCTGTGATCCATTATCGTCAAGCTTTCCCAGCTTCAAAGCAAATACCTTACTGGAGCCAGCAACTCAAGCACACTTTAATCAACAGAATTCAGCCTGTTCCACTTGAACATGACATCTTGAATTGATATTCATGTCCTCCAGATATGACATTAATTTATAAAATGAAACAAATTATTGAAAATGACTCATTAAATTGACTCCTTTTAAACTAAAATGTAACACATCTTTAATAGACTTGCTGGTAATTCCAATTGTCTATCCTGGCCAGTCCAGGATATCAGCAGAAACTTTTGCCAAGAGCTTCAGTTTGATAACTGCATCACAACATCTGAGCTATGAGGTCAAAATGTAGCACACAGATGCCTAAGGATGAATGAACTTACTCTAGGATATTATGTAACACCACAGGAATATATCAGCAAGGTATTTTTCAGATTAAATGGGATCCTTCTGTATAGTTTGAATGGACTTCCTGAAAATAACTAGGGTCCTTTAAAGCTTTAGAATTAAAGGCTATGGAAATAGTTTGTATTCTAGATTAATTTTATAAGATTTTTACATAAACATTGGGGTTTACCCATCACATGAATATCTCACATTGATTCTCAAGAAATTATATGAAAGTCCAAACATATGTTAAAAAACATTCTTGTATTTCATATTTCAGAAAACAGGAAAAAAGTCCTTGAAATAGACTTTAGATATATTAAGTACCCCACCATACCAAAATGTAAGAAGTAGAACTTTTGTCTTGTTGAGTCATGTCATTTATCTATCTATATAATTTATCATGTACACACATTGGCTGATAACAAACACAATAAAACACAGATACTAATACATTATACAGTCGAGGACTGATTTAAATTGATCATATATTATTGTTTATTAGGAAAACTTCACATTCTTGTAATAACTATTTATTGGGAAAACTTCACATTCTTGTAAACATTGGAGCCTTGTGCATTAATTAAAGATGATCAGGGTGATAATATGACAAATCCTTTCATAAAAATTGTAATTAAAATTCAAACCAAATTATGGTTATTTACTTACATTGTACAGACCAGGCATACTGAGATCACAACTCTCAAAAAACTAAGGACATAATTCATAGATGAAAAAATCTTTCAGCATTTCAGATCAAAATATTAATAATTACAAGAATGTAAATTTTCCTAATAAATAACTATTACAAGAATTCAATGTGTGTATACATGTATAAAAATCTATCTCTTATCATAATTTTCAAAAAGATCTACCATAGAGGCAATAAATATTACAGGAACAAGAAAAATCATTTCAGAATTTCTATTATCATCAAACACACTTACTTCAAAAGTGTAAGAAGTTACAACACAGGGATATGAGGATCTCTCATGTGTGAGCAGAGCTTCAGATACAGTAGAAAATGTACCATACAGAGACATTCAGAATTTCACATCCAAAAACGGGCCTATTGAAGCATCCATACTTGCAAGCTATATCGCTGACCAGGTTTGAAAACTTATAACTTAGAATGTAATTATGTGATCCATGACTTTTGAGATTCAACTGAAAACTATAGTTTTCATGAAACAGACATTTTAACTTATCTCCCTGATATACACCTAGTTAAGGCTTAGATACACTGCTTCAGGTGATTAAATATAAAATATTTTATGTACAATCATGCCCCAAAGTTCATGTCATACATTAAAGAATTGAACAATGTTTTGTTGAGATTTATAAGGTATTAACACATGTCAAAGGGACAAATTCTATTGACTGCTGTATAAAATTCATCTCAAGTCCCTATAGAGGTTCATGTCTGTACATCAGCATTATCATTAGACTTTGAAAAAATGGTAATTTTGAAAATGCTTAAATGCTTTAACAGATAAATGATACTTTGAGAAATCAAAGTGCTGTTTCCATTGTCAACTTGTACCACAAATGTTGTTACATGGTACCATTGTATACATTGTATATTATGACAATTATCTTCATGTGAATGTAGTCGAAAGTCTTTTTTTATAATGTTTAATAAATATATTTTACCAAACTTTGCATTAATTAACTTCATAAAGAAACATCAAATTCATGAAATATTGCAAATAACAGCAGTAGTAACAGAAAAGATGACAAAACATCAACATTACAGAGCCATCATACATGTATATAGGAAGGAAGGTTAACAAAGCAAAATCAAACAAATTTCTTATCTCTTTTTTAACTTTTTTTTTCTCTGTGGTTTGAAGTCCTCAAAAATCTCATGAAATCATTCGGAAATAATGCCATTAAAGAGCAGTTTTATAGTGTCATCACACTGAATAGCCTGGACACAGTATTTTCATTAGTATGGCACTTAACCTGGTCACATTATGCTTACAATTAACAACTCCTAAGCTATCCAAGGAAGCATCTCAGTCTTGCTAAAAACTATTTATAGTTTCATGAATTAATAAAGACTCCAGAAATCCTCATGTGCTTAGTTTGACATTTTCACAATAACGAAATACCTATTCAGTTTTTTTCATAAACTTTCCTTCTCTTCTAAGTATTCCAAAATCGAACACATTACACAATATTATTGAATCGATCCCATTGGAGTTTATATCCATTTACTAAAATAATGAGAGCAAACTCGTCTCTACCGCTTAATCAAGCTATTATGTAAGCAATAAACCAGCCATATCCAATTAGACTCCTATCTGACAGTGTCTGTCGGAATTAAACAGAATTATTGATTTGATGTGCGGCAGGGTGTGGGGCGAGATAAACAAACAGAAAATGTTTAAAAAGTAACGTGTTTTACCAATTTCTGTCCCAGTTTCGCACAGCAGTCAGTCATTCTCCCCGTCAAACTTTAAATTCAATATCCAATTTCATATTGTATTCACATCTGTATCAGGAATATGACGTTGTACGTCCTGTTTGGATCTATCTCTTTCCTGTCAGTTCCGTCTTCTTGCTTCATGGGAATGTTGTTCATTCACCTGCCTTAATCGGTGTCGTCAGGACGCTTCAATCCACGTCGAATACACAATCTAAAATATGGCGCGGAAAAGGATTCGGACACAACTAATCTCACCTACATTAATCCAGACGAATTGCTCTGTACCTGGTTGTAAAAAGTAGCATACAATTTAAGCAGGACTCGTTAGGGCACTAAATACATGTCGAATAAATCTAAAACAGGGCGCGGAATAGGATTCGGACACAACAAATACTAACTATGTTATCGATTCAGGCGAGTCACTTCAGACAGGTAGACCATGTGCATAATGATTAAAAAAGACAAGTGTAGTTTTTACCCAGGAAGTTTAACATTCTTCCTCGTTACTCTCTCTCTCTTACACTAGAAAACCTTTTTATGATTTGATAGTTAGCAATGATTCTTCACTGTACGCGTACTGTATGTGAGATTAGTACAATTAATTATATATAATTAGATATTAATTCGTTATTGTAACTGCCTAGCTTCTTTATAAAGAAAACGACCTTTAAGAGAAATGAATAAATTCTAACAAAGACCACGGATTTGGATAAAATAAAAATACGTATAGAGACTCCTTTGAATTCCTTATTACCGTTGTAACATGATATTGTGAAGCATGAGGAAATGAAACGGGGTCAAAATACCATAATGGTGAAATGAACCCCCACCCCACCATGGTTAAGTGAAGCCACTTTATATTTTGTTTAAAATTGCTGTTTTCACTTAATTTTTTTATCAGTTTACTTACTTATGTTCTTCAATACATAATAAAACTACTTTTACTATTTCTTATTCGCCATAATGATGAAATGAACCGCGTTTCACTTTACCATGAGCTTCATTTTCCCATACTACATCGTCATTGAAATATTGAGATTAAATCGTCATTCCTCGACACACTGAAATGAATCACATGAAGTACATTGTATGTGTATATGTTTGTACGTATATTTGCCTTACGCGTCATTTCCCTGGTAAATTGTGACCAACTGATAAATAAATTCATATCGCTGTGTTATCTACAAGTTTATATTGTAAACTTATCTGATATACTAATTGTATATATACAGTGGTCAACACTCAGAAAAATATCACACTCGTACAATTGAATATTGACCACGATGTTCACACTGTACGGAAATGTTAAATAGAAATAGCACAGATAATTACGACGGCCACCTGGTTTATAGGAATGAATATTGACCACGATGTTCACACTGTACGGAAATGTTAACTAGAAATAGCACAGATAATTACGACGGACACCTGGTTTATAGGAATGAATATTGACCACGATGTTTACACTGTATAGAAATTATAACGATGTGTGTACAGGTGAGGCCTTTAGTCAATACGTTTTTGTACCATATCACTTCCTATACTATTTGTCACAGAGATAATGTCGGCAATTGTTATGTGTCTATTCTCTTCAACTTCCAAACTTTTTTTTACAGGCTGTTTTAGGATTTCTCGGCTGGGCGATTTGGTGCCGTAGATCGTTAGGCCTGGATACATGTGAGTGTGTACCACGTAAATCACATGATTGTCTTGACTGTTATTATACCTTGTTTAATGATGGAATACTACCGTGACTTCATGTTTAGACGATGAAATGACGTCACCTACTCACTTATTACATAGTGTGACGATCTGACCTGGACGTTTTCTGCAATAATCGACCATGCTATAACAAAACGCAAGTTTGTTTCCATTTGGCAAGCGATTTTATTATGAAATTCGTCACAATTTCTTACTATCTTGAAAATTTCTTCAGTTCGTTCCATAAATCACATATGAAATGAAAACACATGTAACATCCTATACCTTTTTAAGTTGGAAAAACATAGAATACGATAACAAACTTAATAAACTATATTTTATTTCGTAAATAAAAACTCATCTGCATCTATCTCTAGGCCTAATCACTTTTCTATCGCAAGGGAGCTAACTCTAAGTAAAGACGATAATCCACAACTTTGTGTGCATTTAACACTGAGTTCACTCCAAAACAATAATTTGAAATAGCTACAAATGGGATCTTTCAAAGTAACGTTGTAACATAATCCCATATATGCTATAAAATACTTTTGGATTTGATAACATAAATTATATTTGTGGAATGTTTCATCACATTTATGCAGATTGTACAGTATAAACACAATATGACAGTACAATATACACTCTGATATAATCTTAGACACATGTCACAATTAATTGATTGGTTGCTGAAAAACTAGAAAAAACATACTTTCAGACCATTTATCACCTATGTCAGTCAGTATGTTAAGCACTTGATCCGACCATCTTGAAATCCAACCCACATGTTTTTATCATACACAGCTAGGGTCCAGGGACTTCCTTGCTCCTTAACCAGGATCCTAAGAGGCCCACCTGTGACGGGATCAAGGACTTGAACTGTCCCTGTGTAGCCTTCGATGATCACTAGATTGTCAGTCACGTCAAACTTCACGTCCATGACGTTGAATCTCTCGGTCATTGTGACGTCAGGCCGATCACCGAGAATGACGTTTTCATGACCTATACAACGTAGCAACAAGGTAAAGTGAATATCGAATAACATGAGATGTGACGTCATATCGCTGGTTTGGTTGATGACAGCAACAAGCTTACCGGTATTACTTACTGCTACTTTGTACGGTAAAACGAAGAGATTCCCGCCGTGTTTTGAATATTTAGCTTCTGCCGTCATCTTCCACTTCGAGTTGCTTTTCATCAAGACACGATGGCTGTTTCGTGACTTGTCGTAACTCCATTTGTCAATTAACGTCATCAGAATGTCTCCGGTAACGGAAACACATATTCCAACAGTGATCAATGGGGCCGTGTGAAAAACTTCGAACACATGACAGCTCGGATGATGTACTTGTTTGACAGACTTTGTGTGTGGGCTACACATAAGTAAGGACCCATCGGCTAAAGTCACCATTCCCAACAAGTGTTTTGATCCAGATATTACGACCGTCCTTTTTACCACGCCTGAATTGTTGATATGCTTGATTTCGTTGGTATTATTGTGAACTATCCAGCAATGGTTGCTGTCAGATGGACAGATAGCGGTTGGAGTGCACGTAGCATGTTGAAACGTGGACAGTATCACACCAGCTTCATCCTGTGTGGTAACCTTTGAACTTTTCCTTCTCACAGGAATTGTCCTTTGTGATGTAAATTCTATCCCACCATTTTTATCATGGGACATGACCTTTAACCCGCCGCTCTTACGAGCTGTTGGAGTAAATTCTTGTGTCATTGAAGATAAAAGTTCAGGTGCATGAAAACTGTCATCCTCAATGGGACGCAAACATGAATCCATATGACTCTGTACAGGTCTATCTCTGATGGGATGAAAACCTACTGGAAGACTGCCTTCACCAGGACTCCAACAATCTGATATTATCTTAGCCTCTCCTACAGAGTAATCCTTGAAACCTCTCTTGGAGGTGGCATATCTTTTTCTTAGGTTGGAAGGATCTGATATCTTTAATGAAGGCGTTTGTTTCGTGTTTACTACTGCGGGATTGCTTGTCAACGGAGGAGAGATCTCCGTGTCCACGTTATGTGTAACACCTGTTGCCTTTGATTCAGCTGTTTCAGTTAGTAGATTTTGTGACTGTGAGTGAGGAACACATTCATCACAACTCAGATGGTCGTCTAAATCTGTCGGGTCTGCCGACTGTTCTGTGTTGTCGTCACGTTCTTCACTAAGATTATGTCTATTACCTCCAGGATGATATTTCGAATTGTTTGCGTCTATTTCCACGCCATTGCCATGTTGTTGATTCTCTTGATGCTCCAGTGATTCTGTTACGAACGACTTCCGTATGTCCTCATGGACTTCCTCGCCAAACATCTGTTTGATGCAATTGCGATCTATGATACCTTGTGTTAGCGTCATCCGGTTAATAGAAGGAACCTTTAAACAGGAAAGAGATGGTGCAGTCAACCCTTTACCAATTTCAATCACACGTTTATAGTCAGAAGAATTCTCCAAGTGTGCAAGATCATTTTGAAATTTAAGAATGTTCTTAACCTTTTCTTCCACTTGCTTTTCAAACTTATCAAATACTTTTGAAATGTCGTTTGTACTCGCCTCATGTCTGCCTAACAGGTCGTCTGCAATTTCATCGACAGCTTGTTTGAGATGATCTCGTCTCCTTTCAATACTTCTTCGAGTCTCCCCTGATTTAATCCGTTCCTTTTCTCTCAGTGTTGAACACGTTTTCAAATCCAGTTTTACCTCTTTAAAATGTGGAAGATTGTTTGCCTTTTCTTTCCTCAATTGCTCCAATACACTTTGAGCTACAGACTCAAATGTTTCAACTGTGTGTTCCTTATGCTCATTTTCAATGCATTGTGGACACACGAATTTCAAATCACTACACGAGGAACATACCATAGCATAGGCCAAACCTGAATGAGCATCACATGTTTCCATCTTCTTTTGAATGTGACAGGAGACGAGATCACGATCTGTGTTTGTCAGCCATTTTGCTTTTATCTTCTTCCGTGTTATGTTTTTAAAAGTTCGCTCACCAGTCGTAGCGACAGGGTTGCCTGTTTTAAATACGGCTATATATAGAAATGGGGCTTATCCATATGTGGGAAATTTAATGCGACTGTATCGGTGATAATGGAATGTTGAGTGTGCCATGCTGGAGTAAACATTCATTCAATTAAACGAGTTTTAGGCCAAGGTGTCTACGTTTACTGTATCAGGTTTGGGGTAGATAGACAATCTGAATTCTATTCATTAAACCAATTAGGACTGTAATTGGACACGTTCGTTTGTGTGTATGCATTCTTTGTTTCCCGTCCATTTGTTAAAACAGAGATAACAATAACTTGGACAAAATTATTGAAAGCACTGTCATCTTTATTCTA